GGTCCTTTAGGCTGTTTTCAGCTTCTGTCCTCCCAAGATAAAAATAATGCTTCTATAAATATTCTTTTTAAAGATTTAATAAGTTTACTTATTTATTTGTGAGAAGGGGAGAAGGAGAGAAGGAGAGAAGGAGCATGAACAGGTGGGAGGAGCAGTAGGAGAGGGATAAGCAGACTTCGTGCTGAGCATGGAGCCCTGGGCAGAGCCTGATCCCATGACCCCAAGATCATGACTTGAGCCAAAATCAAGAGTTTGACACTTACCTGACTGAGCCACCCAGGCACCCAATTTCCATAACTATTCCTGTAACTGTTTTCCCTTGCATATTTGCACAAGCATTTCTTTAGGGTAAAATTGTAGGTTGCAGGGACTGCATATTTTTAAAATTTGTTAGGTAATAAATTATTTTCCAAGAGAGCTGTATCAATTTGTCCTCCTACTACAGTTTCATGAGTTCCTGTTGCTCCCTGTTCTCACCAATTACTATCAGACTTGTATATTTTGTCATGTGGTTTTAAATTGCATTTCCCTATTTCCTTCTAAAAGTTAAGTTTTAGAAGTTCTAAGTTCTTGACCCATCTAAATTTTATTTTTATGCATTAAGTTATATACATCTCTATTCTTTTCAAATTTTCCTTTTGCTTCTCATGGTTAAAAAAGAATTTTCAAAAAGAGATTTTTCTTCCCCTTATCTCTAACCTTCCCTCTTTCAAGGAGACTCAATGGATTTATCAAAGAATATGAACAGAGCTACAGAGAATATACTTTCTAAAGATTAAGAATATAGGGAGTTTTTATTGGACATGAAACTCCACTAGTTCACATGAGGCCAAAACTGTTAAAAATTTGCTAATCCTGCTTTCTATGTGCTATAAAAAGCAACCCAGTTTAGAGCAAATGGTTTCAGAAATTTCATACATAACTTACAAAGTTGTTGGCCGTGAATTATGATCACTGCATCTATTTAAACAGGTGAGGTGGGACGCCTGGGTGGCTCAGTCATTAAGCGTCTGCCTTTGGCTCCAGGGTCCTGGGATGGAGCCCCCATCAGGCTCCCTGCTCAGCGGGAGGCCTGTTTCTCCCTCTTCCACTCCCCCTGCTGTGTTCCCTCTCTTGCAGTGTCTTTGTCAAATAAATAAATAAAATCTTAAAAAATAAAATAAATGGGTAAGGCACTGAGACTTTGAGACTTGGTATTTAATATTAAATATGACATATTGAATATGGTACAAATTATAAACTACTTTAGACAGCTGAAGTATAATCTCCAGCCTACAGAGTAGTAAGAATGTCCTAACTCACATGGCAACTTCAACAACATTATTGAACAATGACAAGACAGACTCACTAAAAAATCAGTGTCTGTAACACAGACAATCTCTGTGCTGGGCTAGTCACATATAAATGCAGATGAATGAAAAGAGGCAATACACAAAAGGAAATGCAGGCATTTAACAGACATGAATAGGTACCCAACCTCAGAAGCCATGGAACAAATGTAAATTAATGAATAACTCTGAGTGTCACAAATTAGCAAGAAGTAATTTTAATAAGCCTGACCAATGTTAATGAGAGTGTTGTGAAATGAGCATTGTCATACATGGACTTCGGGCGGTGTGTATAATCCTTTTGCAAAGGTAATTTGAGGTAAACTGCATTGTAGGCTTTAAGGGTATCCACATTTTTAAAATGAAATTTAACTTTATGGAAACAATCCTAAGGAAATAATCTGAAAATTTAAAAATCTTACTGCACTAAGATATCCATTGTAGTGCTGTTCTACATACACATACATGCAGTATGGGTATCACTCAGTAGGGTCCCCCCCGCCAGCACACACCTGATGGGATATTAGGTAGCCATTAAAATAGTCTCTGTAAAACTTTTTCACATCTGCTCTCTGTGTAAAGAACAAAACCTGAAGCGGTTTAAATCATGTTAAAAGAAAACAAGCAAAATATGCCTACCAGTTGGAAGAAAACAGAGAGTAATTGTGCTTGTTGAATATTTATCCTACTTTCAAATTGTTTTTGAAAACAAAAATTCCATGAGTTTGTATTTCTTGTATAATAGACACTTATCAAATGAAATATAGTTTTATTATTAAAATCGACATGAGAGGTGCCTGGGTGGCTCAGTCCATTAAATGTCTGCCTTCAGCTCAGGTCATGATCTCAGAGTCCTCGGATCAAGCCCCATGTCGGGCTCTCTGCCTAGTCGGGAGTCTGCTTCTCCCTTTCCCTCCCCCCACTCCTGTTTGCTCTCTCTCTCTCTCAAATATAATTTTTTAAACAAAGTTAAAATTTACATGAAAAATACTCAGTGTTTTTTTGATGTGGTGTCTATTAGCAGCAAAAGAGTAGAAGACACATATTGTTCACTGAAGCTGTACCTCAGATTCTGACAAGCAGAAAATGGGGGGGGGGTTGTTGTAGCTTGTGTGCAACTCACTTCTAGCCAGTTTCAAATAGGTGCACATAAATAGGAGCATAGGAAACGAAGGAAGACACTGCCCTGCACTGAGGAAAATCTACCATTACCCAACCCGCAGTGTTCACGCACAGTCTTCACATTTCAAAAAAATAAACAATATGTCCAGGAAAGAAGCCAATAGCTTTATAATCTCCTAACTCCCATACATACAAAAGCAAGCTATAGCCCAGTATTCCTACTTATTGACACAGAATAAAGGTAGAACTGTTTGAAATTCCAAGATGAAATAACCTAGTATATAACTTGATACTAAGCTAGTTATTTAGAACGCAGGGAGAACGATTATATGGAACGAACATTTGTTGAGTGACTTAGCTACATGTGCCAAACACTTTAACACACTACCTTACTAATCCTCGTCATGACACTGTCAAATAGGTAGTGTGAGTTCTAATTTCCAGGTGAAGAGACTGAAGCTCAGTCCTGTAACATGACCAAGCTGAATTAGCACAGTGCCTGGCATACAGTAAGTACTCATTAAATACTGTTGGAATGGATGGTAGGTAATACACCTGGTAAATAGAAGTGCCAGGATTTAAAATTAGACTCATCTAGTTACAAAGCTCACACTATTTCCATCACAGTACACTGCCTTCTGTGAGAGATGATGCAGAATTGTTTTTAAATGGCTAAGAAAGATCACTGCCTGTGTAAACACGGTTGATAAATTCAGGGACCTGTGATTTCTACCTTCATATCGGAATTATTTCAATGTCAAAATGTATGCTTGGTAAAGGATGAGAAAAGATAGAAAACACACAGAGGATCTTCAAGTGCTTTTTTAATTTTCAAATATACATAGTACATGAAAGTAACACAATCCATAGTAGTACATTTTATCTGTATGGAACATTTAACTAGTTAATACTATTCTTCCCTTTCTGTTGTTGAATTACAACTTTTTAAAAAAATAGATTATGACAACACCATCAAAAATGTGTTAATTTTATGAATATTAGGTTTTATATTTTTTTCCTTTGTTGCCCCACACACCAAAACAAATTATTTGAAAATGCTAAAATAAGTAAAATGTGGCATGCTTTCTTAGCTTGCTCTGCATCCTGTGTTTAAAATATTTTACGACTATAAAAGTTGAAAATAATTTTATTGGTTTTCCTATGTCAATCCACATAAGTATACTTTTGTATTTTATTAGCTAATACAGCTCTTTTAAAAAAATTCTACCAACTTCTTTAAAATATTTCCTATGAAAATATCATCCAAAATGTATTTTATTTTTATGAATATTAGATGTTAAGTCTCCTTTCCTTCTTTGCCCCATACTTAGGCCCAAATAAGTTATTTGAAAATACTGATAAAATGGGGCATGCTTTCTTAGATGTTTTGTATCCTGTATTAAAATATTTTACAATTACAAAAGTTGAAAAATAATTTTATCAGTTTTCTTAAATATAATCTCTTAACTCCCATGCATGAACTAACCTATAGAACGAAGTAATTTTGTTAGTCCAAATGCAGAGGGCCAAGAACATAAGGGAATTACAAAAACTCCAAGATGACTAATTTAAAGCAGATATTAAAATACTACAGATGTGGCATATTTACTGTCTCTCCAGCAGAGAACGAGTGTTTATCTTTGCATTCGGCAGTATCTTCCAGGCAATTATTTCCCACTCTCAAAGCATTACTGTTGCACAGGTTTCATATTGGAGGAGGAGATATATAAAACATCAATTTCCTTATCCAAAACCAAAAATAAATGAGGATTTAGAAATATGTTATTACAAAGATGGTGATCAGAAAGACTATGTCCACTGAATTACAGGGCTGTGGAGATGAAAAATGCCTTTGCTTCATTCAGGATCTAGGACCTTAAAAATTATAAATTTAGCTGGATTTTCTTTTCTGCTTATGTTTTAACCCCCAAATTTGGTCTTGTACCATAGCAGTTTTTATTTTACTTGAATGTTAAAAGAAAATTCACTGGATTATAAAGACAGATTAATAACCTGTTGAACCTCAGCTGGGAACTAATCAATAGAAAATACTTATTTGGTTGGGTAAATACATTTCAAGACATTTAAAATGTTACTAAATAAGTTGTTTTTAAAAATAGTTAACTTGAAATAATAAAAAACTATTAAAAGCTAGTAAAGATCTTTCCCGAGGGTTAATAAAAGCAAAAACAACCTTAATAGACACGTGGTTACACACAAATTTCCTCACAGAGGTAAAGAAGTTGTGATTAGTATCAGGATTTTAAGGAAGTGTCATTTCAGGAACTACATTAATCTATTGTAAGTGGTTTCAAGAGTCTGAGCTGGTGCATGCTGGTACTGGAGAAAATCTGAAGCATCTAGTTGGGTACAAAAGGACTGACATTTACCTCTAAATTATTAAATGTCATTGTTCTTTTTTTCTTTACAACTTCTAGGATGGACATTTGTTTATGCAGTATGAAATGATTTAATCATTTAAATAACAAGCTTAAAAAGGCTGACATTCAATGGAAACCAATGAAATAATTTACCTTTTGGTAATCAAAATAACCTGAGATAATTTTTAATATCTTCTTTTTAAGGACCCCTTATTAAAGCTTGTGATTTTAATTAATGCAAATAAGGCAAAGTCATTGTTTTCTACACACTTGTTTTCACCACAGTGTGGTGGGTTTTGTTCTCAGTTAACCTTTAATACTCTGTACATACTATTCTGAAATACTGTGGTGAAGTAAGGCCTCCCATCCTTGAGCAAGACACTACATAAGGGAGGATTAGCTGTATTGGAAGGGTCTTCCACATCCCAAATTTCCAGCATACTGCAACCAGGCCTAAAAAAAAAAAAAAGGCACATATATATCCATATTAAAAATGTAGTCATATGCAAGGAAAATATATAAATTATAAAGTAGCTCTAAGATTTTTGGAGACTCTTTTTTATTTTATTTATTTGAGAGAGAGACAGAGATATGGAGAGAGAGCATGAGTGGGGAGGAAAGGGAGAAGCTCAGCAGGGAGCTTGACACAGGGCTCCATCCCAGGACAGGGATCATGAACTGAGCCGAAGGCAGATGCTTAACTGACTGGGCCACCCAGGCACCCTGAGACTAATTTATTTAATAAAGATTTTAAAGCATCATTTCAAAAAATGTAAGTTCAACTTTTAAGGATAAAAATGAAATTAAATATGTTGTATTTTCATGTTCCACTTAACCAAATAACAAGCATATTATTAAACTTAACAGTAAAGGTCCAATATACATTCATATTTACATATTTAAAAATTTATTTTCAAAATGAAATATAAATAAATATATTTTCTAGGCCGTATCACCATCCAAACATAAGGCTCATGAGTAGTAGGAGACAGATTAAAGGAAAGCTAATCTAATTCCTGATGAATTTCCCATTTTTGAGTTTCATCTGAGTTAGGTCAGCATGAAAACATATAGTCCAAGGTAATGAAGGAAAGCTCTTGTTGGCCAGATTTGATCTTCTCTACCCTTTCCTATTTTGGGTGGCTTTATAATTGGACTGACTGGGATACTAGTTCTCACTAGGGAATAACCCTGCATGAGAAGCAGGCAGTAAAGGGAAGAAATCAGGCCAAACTGGCTATTATTTTTTAACAGCTATATTGAGGAAATATTTATGTACAATAAAATGCACCCATTTATGAGTAAAGTTTGATAAATATGGACAACTGTGTATAGGTGTGTGAGCACTTCCATAATCATAATATAGAAAATTCCTAGCACTGAAACAATTTCCCTTGAACCCTTCTGCAGTGGGTCCCCTAGCTCCAGCTTAGCCAGGAAAACACTGATCTCCTTTCTGCAATATAGCTTGGCCTTCTCTAAAATATTCCAGATATTTATATTCACTGCAGCTTTCATATGTTATTCACAAAACAATTCCATTCCTTTTCCTTGCATCGATACATGTATCTGTATTTAAAATGCATGTCTTCAAGGGGACACATAGTTGGGTTTTGCTTTTGTATTCAGTCTACTAAACTTTGTCTTTTGATTAGAGTGTTTTGTCCCCATTCGTATTTGTGATTACTGATATTGTTTGATTTAGGCTTTTTTTCCTTGTTTTCTATTTGTTTCATCTTTTTTATTTTTAATGTCTGTCTCTCTTTCTTTTATGTCAAGCAAAAAGTTTTACTATATCATCCATTTCATTCATTGGCTTATGCATTTTTTTGCCTGTGTGTGTGTGTGTTTGTGTGTGTGTCTGGTTGCTCTAGATATTGAAACAGGCATCTTCAATGTATCACAGTTACTTAACATTAAACTTGGATTATTTCCAGAAAATCATACATTTTATTTTTGTTTACTCCCCTTGCTTGTGCTATTGCTGTCATATATATATGACTTACATTATAAACTCAAAAATATAATGGTATTATCTTTGTTTTAACTAGTCATAAGGTTTTAAAAGATTTTCAAAGGATTATATATATATATATACATATAGTGATTAATATTTATCCACATTTTTAACATTTCCAGCACATTTTAGTATATCCTGTATTTCTGAATTTTGAATTATCATTTCAATGTCAGTTGACTTCTACTTATGAAAAGAACCAGATGTTTATCATATCATTCTTCTCTTGCTTCAAGATTTTCTCTTTTCTCCTTGTTTTTCACCAGTTTGACTATGATATTCCATGATGTAGATTTCCTTGGGTTTATCCTAGCTGCATTTGTTAACCTTAATTGGATCTTTAAGTTAATGGCTTTCAACAAACAAAAAATTTTTGGCCAAGATTTCTTCAGCTATTTTTTTTTCCTCCCATTTTTCTTTTCTTTCATTCTTTCTGGTATTACATTACCCACGTGTTGAACTATTTAATAACACACAGGTCTCTGTGGCTTTTGCTATTCTTCTTCAATCTTCTTGATTCCTGTTCTTTGGAGTGTACTTTTTCATTTTTTTTTTTAAAGATTTTATTTATTCATTTCACAGAGAGAGAGAGATCACAAGCAGGCAGAGAGGGAGAGAAGGAAACAGGCTCCCTGCTGAGCAGAGAGCCCGAATCGGGGCTAGATCCCAGGACCCTGAGATCATGACCTGAGCCAAAGGAAGAGGCTTAACCCACTGAGCCACCCAGGCGCCCCTGGATTGTACTTTTTCTTTACTTACCCTAAAGTCATTGATCTTTTTTCTGTTGTTACATCAAATCTCTTGAGAACTTTTAAAGAATTGTCATTCATTTATTATAATTTTCAATTCTAGAGTTTCCATTTTTCTGGGGCGGGTGTTCACTGTTGAGAATCATATCTTGTCCCTTACTGATATCATGTCTTCAATTCTTTAAACATGTTTTCCTTAATTCCTTGAATATAATCATAACAGCAGCTTTGCAGTGTTTCCCTGCTCAGTCCAACATCTCAAACTATTTGAATCAGATTCTACTAACTTTTTTCTGGAGTATTGAAAAATCTTTAAAAAAAAATGGATTTCCAAATATAAAAAAAAAATTTTTTTTTCACAGGTCTGGTAATTTTGGGTTGGAAACTGAACACTAGAGAAAACAACTGGCAGTGAGTCTGGAATCTGTTTTGTTTTTCTGATGATGTTTTTTGTTTCTGTTCTGATAGGCAGTTAATTTGTCTGGATCTCCTATCTTGTGCAACAGCTATCTCCACTCAGATTTTTTAGGTTCCCGCTTTTTTTTTTTTTAAAAAAATTTCTTTTTAGCGTAACAATTTTTCATGTTTTTTCCCCACCCCCCGTCCTCTATGCCATCCGTGCCCTCTCTAATCCCCACCACCTGGTTCCCCCAACCTCCCACCCCCCGCCCCTTCAAAACCCTCAGATTGTTTTTCAGAGTCCATAGTCTCTCATGGTTCACCTCCCCTTCCAATTTCCCTCAACTCCCTTCTCCTCTCCATTTCCCCTTGTCCTCCATGCTATTTGTTATGCTCCACAAATAAGTGAAACCATATGATAATTGACTATCTCTGCTTGACTTATTTCACTCAGCATAATCTCTTCTAGTCCCGTCCATGCTGCTACAAAAGTTGGGTATTCACCCTTTCTGATGGAGGCATAATACTCCATAGTGTATATGGACCACATCTTCCTTATCCATTCGTCCATTGAAGGGCATCTTGGTTCTTTCCACAGTTTGGCGACCGTGGCCATTGCTGCTATAAACATTGGGGTACAGATGGCCCTTCTTTTCACTACATCTGTATCTTTGGGGTAAATACCCAGTAGTGCCATTGCAGGGTCAATTAGAGCTCTATTTTTAATTTCTTGAGGAATCTCCACACTGTTCTCCAAAGTGGCTGCACCAACTTGCATTCCCACCAACAGTGTAAGAGGGTTCCCCTTTCTCCACATCCTCTCCAACACATGTTGTTTCCTGTCTTGCTAATTTTGGCCATTCTAACTGGTGTAAGGTGGTATCTCAATGTGGTTTTAATTTGAATCTCCCTGATGGCTAGTGATGATGAACATTTTTTCATGTGTCTGATAGCCATTTGTATGTCTTCATTGGAGAAGTGTCTGTTCATATCTTCTGCCCATTTTTTGATATGATTGTCTGTTTTGTGTGTGTTGAGTTTGAGGAGTTCTTTATAGATCCTGGATATCAACCTTTTGTCTGTACTGTCATTTGCAAATATCTTATTTAGTAGATTTCTAATTATTAATTTTTAATTTAATTCTCTATGATTTCAAATCTTTTAAACATACTGAAGCCATTTTTGTGGCCCAGCATATGTTTTCCCTTGGTGAAAACTCCATGTGCCCTTTAAAAGAATGTGTATTCTGCAGAATGTATTTTCCTATACTGTTCTATAAAAGTAATTAGGTCAGATTATTTGATACTGTTTTATGTTTCTATCTTTTAATCCTTACACTCTTTTTATCTAATTCTCTCAGTAATGAAAGGAAAGTTAACATTTCCAACTATCATTGAAAATTTGCTTATTTTTCTTTATATTCTATACATTTTAAATTTAATTTTAATTAAAATAGAGCTCTGAAGTTCTGTTTAGATATACACATTTTAGAATTTTTGATGAGTTAATCCTTTCTTCATTATAAAATGTCCATCTTTTTGTGGTAATATGCTTTGTTTTGAAGTCTATGTTGTCGTATTAAATTTTAAATTAATGTGATGTGCACATGCATCAACATTATGATGTTCCAGCTTCTTCTTTTACACGATGTCCTTTCTTCCTAGATATATTAGGTATTAAAATTAGCCACTAAAACTTATGAACTTCACTTTTCCAAAATGTTTTATAGTCTAATGCCCAATTATCCATATGAGAAATGAAAATTCTTAATGTTAGACTTAATACAGCTAAGGACCTCTTAAGTCAAGGAATCTAAAAGAAAGGCCTCAAGATATCTGTTAACCATTTTAGAATTTTGTGACTTTTAGAAATTGAAAATTCAGAAGTTAAAAATTATACTTAGGAATGTTTTACTTACTATATCTTCTTGAGTTATTGAAAACTTTTCTTATAGGTCTTATAAATTCAATGTTATCCAGTTGTAGTAAAAGAATGCTAATGTCTCACACTACTGTAAACTCAAATATGTATTTCATAATTCTAATAAAAACTATCATAAAAATTTGAAAAACTATGAAGGAAAGCAACACTTAAGATGTTAAAATAAAAAAATCAGGAAGCTAAGATACTCTATAGTTTCTTAAAATTAGATTCTACTGAAATGATATTTATTTTCCTACATGAAACAATTTTAAATAAAATACCAGGATAGTACTTTAATAGAATTAATTTAGAATAAAAATTCTTTTTTTCAGTATTTTTAAAATTAACATATAATGTATTATTTATTTCAGGGGTACAGGTGTCTGTGAATCATCAGTTTTACACAATTCACAGCACTCACCATAGCACATAACCTCCCCATTGCTCATCATTCAGCCACCCCTCCAGCAACCCTCAGTTTGTTTCCTGAGATTGAGAGTCTTTTACGTAAGTTTGTCTCCCTCCCCATCCCATCTTAAAGAATCACAACTACTGTAATAAGGTAAAACGGTTGTTGCTTAAAGATATTCCATACCATACAACGTAGGGCTCATACTCACTTAGTTCTCACAACACACCATGCCTCTTCTAAAATGTAATAATTCACATGTAACTCCAACAATTTATCTCTCACTTCTTTTGCAGATTTTCGACTATATGTGGAATAAACTATTTTTGTCCGAGCCCTTTACATTCAAAACACAATTAAATATTTTTTAATAAGTTAGAATAGAATGGACTGAAACAATTTTGCTAGTAAATGAAAATCTCAACACTCACTGGGTGGAACACTCATATATATGACCTCAAGCAGCATGAACTGTTTGGGGAACAGCACAGATTATTTTTGGATAGCAGTTTCTACTTTCCTGCTTTTATTTTGCATATGCTAAAACTTACAGTGGTTTGAATTTTGTAGGTACTGCTTGTTAGTTTTTACCAGAACAAACATCAAGTGGCTTAGAGACTACAGAGTTCAGGATATAAATTTGCTTTGCATATGCATAAAGTAATTAATCTGCTCACGGAATACATTCGAATAGAGGTCAACAGAAAACAGATTTTGGTAGATAATTTCACCTACTGAAATTATCTGCAAAGCATATGAATTGAAGTTGAAATGTAGCAAATCATACATTTAGACAGAGGGCATCTAGTGTAGCAGTGAGGAAGCTTGACAAACAGGATCAGTCACCAAAATATGGTACAACAGATAATTTGGCCCCCAAATAGGAGTTTTTATGAAATCCTGAATAATTACCATTTATGCATTGGATATTTCTTTTTTAACTTACTGAAGTTCAATGAGTTAACATAGAGTGTATCATCAGTTTCAGATGTAGCTTTCAGTTATTCATCTGTTGCATATAACACCCAGTGCTCAGTACATCATGTGCCTTCCTTAATGTCCATCACCCAGTTACCAATCTGCCCACCCAGCATTGGACATTTCTCAAAATTTCAAGCATACAGGATGTACAATGTCCAAAACCAGACATCAAACTTTAAATGATTTAAAATGTCAACTGTAAAAATAGGCCAAAGATGCATTAACAGGAAAAGATTACGTTGACAATGACTAAAAGATTAAGATAATTGAGAGTTTCATAACTAGCTAACCAAAAACACCCTAAATTTTCATAAAAGCATGTAATATAGCAAATTTCATGTACTTTTCTATTAGAAAAGGTTAGTTGTAGGCCATTGGTAAAATAGAGAATGGTTTCTTAAATCAGGCAGAGGAGCTTGTGGGGTTCAGAGCAGGGGCTGGCAAACTATGGCCATGGGTTAGAACCATCCCATCTCCTAGTAGTAGTACTTAGCAGTTCTACTGGAACAAATAGAATAACATACAGGTTAGTCATAAATACATGATATTTTCATTTTGAGAAAAATTAGCATGTCTGGTTAAAACATTCAATCAGTTGCCAACCTCAAGTCTGCATCCTCGTAATGTGGGTGATTCACAATGGGGTGCAGGGTAGACAGCTTGACACTGGCCATTGTAGGCATGGCACCTGCAAAAACAGCATCTGAAAAACAAGGACATTTTCCCTAATGACATATTTTAAAGAACACCAAAGATCAGTACTTATCTATAATATTTGAACTCAAATTAAGAAACATGAAATACATTTAAATAATAACTATTGGCATTATTCTTTTTCTTTGCTCAATATTGTCTGCTATAATAATAGCCAACTTTGTTATCTCTGTGCCAGGAACTGTGTTAAATAAGTTTACTAGGATTAAACAACTTAATTTGTAGAAATTTATGAAGTGGGTTCTATGTTATTCTTATTTTGTAAATTAGAAAACTGAGAACCAATGAAGATAATTGACTTGTCAAGTCTATACACCTAGGTGGAACCAGAGCCCACACTCAGGCACTTTACTACAACTTCCTACCATGTTCAAGCTCAGTGTAAAAGATAATGCTACAAAAACACATAGGACCAGAAAGAATTACAAAACTTTATACTTGTTCCAATAATTTAAAATGCCAAGAACTGAGAGACTGTTACAAAAGGCAAGTCTCATGCTATATGTTTTAAGGTGAAACTGTGAACTGTAGTTTCTTGGAAGACAAAAATGTTTACTTACCTCCTGACAATTCTATATAATAAATTATTAAATAATTTTGAAGGTTAACATTTTTAATCAATATAATAAAATCACTAACAAGGCATATTATTCAGATCTACTGTAAATAGCTGAATGTTTACTTGCAAATCTAACTAAATATTCTAAATGTAACTTCGAGTATCTTTACGTATGACTTAAATTTGAAGATATATAAGTCAATCAATGTAGAAATGTATATTTATTATCACAAGATTCAATAATTAATGATGGAAAGTTCTTAGGCTAGAGCAGTGGTTCTCAACCAGATGTGATTTTATTTTCTAGGGATATATATTTCTGGAGACATTTTTGATTGGCACACTGTGGGGAGAGAGGTATTGTGGGCAACTTGTGGGTTGAGGAAAGGTATGCTGCAAAATATTCTTCAATGCACAGGCCAGTCTCTAATGTCAATAGTGCCAAGGCTGCGAAAATGTGAGTTAGAGGATCCCAAAGCCCAGGGACATAGTTATCAGAAAAAAAGTAGGGGAGTCTGTCCAGCAACAGCTGAAATCACTGAAGAGAAACCACCTATGGCAGAGAGAGGGGCAGAAATACTCTGCAAAGTCTTAATTCTTGTTGGTGAGATAAATATGAAATAGTCTTGGACAAGATCATGGATTACTTATAGAAAATACTGTAGAATACACTTATTCTCTGGAAAGGTTTTTTAAAAATTGAAATATGTCTGCTTGAGGTGATTTTTTCCTATAAAGATAGGAAAAAAAGTAAGCTAAAAATATTTTGGAGTCTTTTTGAAATTATTTAGTGAAGAAAATGGAGTATATGAGATTTTAACTCTTCTGTGCGCAAATGGTTTTACAGGGTTGGAAGAGAGAGTCAGCACTGACTGAAGTGATATAAAGGGCACTGTTGACCTCCCCACAGTCAAAAGTATCTTCTCCAATGTCTGTTGACAGGGTGTGAAATTTTGTTATTGAAAATTTACTTGTCATTGTTAGGGTTAAAATATGATAATGATCTAAAGCATTATAGTACATATCTATGAACAATCATTAATTCCTCATGTTAATTAAAATTCTTGGCAGTTATCTAGGAGGCATCTAAAGAGGGCACAAAATTGTTTTTTGAAAAGGTTTGACTGGTGGACACTACAATTAGCATGCTTAAAATCTGTGAGTCAATTCATGACTCTTGTGTGTCTGTTTCTACATGTCTGTATACTAGCTTTACATAGAACTAAAGAGCTACATACCTGGTCTGGTATTATATTTGATCCATTGTATCAGTTCCTCCTGAGGTAAATTATTAAATTCTCCTATTATGCTCCATTGATTATGCAGGTTTGCACAACCTTGTATTGACATCACTGTTAGGATGCCAAAGATAACATTCTCAAAACGAACTCTGCAAAAAAGCCAGCCAAAGAGCTGAAATGAAAGAAACCATTTATTTTTAATTCTTATATGAAGTGTGCTATAGGGCCAATAATAAACTCTCACCTTGCTACTAAACCAAGGTGGGTTGTCATTTGAGATTATCAATGCACTAATAATATACAGAACGATGGTCATCTATTGTTTAAAAATAGTATATATTTTGGAATTATAGGGCCTAATAAAAATGGAACTTTCTTTATCCTCAAAAGAATAAAGAAAGAAACACACCTCATCCTTCTAGTACTGATTTACTACCAAGGATTAAGATTAGCAAATCACAAAAATGTGAAACATCCTGGAACTAAATCCTGTAAAATACCTGTAATAATGTCTAACGGACATCTAAAATAACTATGGAAACCTCACCAGCAGTAACACATACAGTTACTATAGTGTAGTGGCACCAAAATGAATACCTTACCCGTCGAGAACATATCAAGGAAGCCATAACACACATGTGAGGTGTTAAAAACAACTTCAGCCTCATGATTAAAATGGCAAGGACAGTGAAGGCTAACAGTTGCAATGTGTGAAAAATCAGCTGTAAAAACAAAACGAAATGATACTTCACTTTATATATTTTTAAATTAATACATATATATTAAAACTATTATCATTCATTAGGACAAGGATCTTTTAATTTAATAGTAAGTCTGGTAATATTTATTCATTCATTCAACAAAGATTTAGCAAATGTGTACTAAATGCCACGTACTGTTCTGGAGGCTATGGATACAACCGTGAACAAAATAACAGTGAGCAAAGTCTGACCTTGTGAGACTTACATTTTAGAACATTCACTAAGTAGAGATAGAAATAGTCATCGCAAGTAAATGAATCCATTATAGTCTCTTAGAAAGTGAAGAAAGTGGAACAGGAGAAGAAGGCTGGGAGTACACTGAGTGTGGTGTGAGGCCACGAGCTGGAGCAGTTGTAATTCCAAGGAGGACAATCAGGGAGGGCCTCACTAAAGAGGTGGCATTTGAACAGCACACATGCAAGGTGAGGAAGTGAGCCACAGAGACATACAAATATTGAATGCTTCACAAGTTTGCATGTCACTCAGCCAGCAACAAAAATCAGAACAAAACACAAGCTAGATTATTTTTAAAGTAATGGAATCATATATATAAATATTTGTACTGATTAGGAGAACACTCATTTTATTAAGATGGGGTTCCACTGAGCAAAGATTTCAGACAAAATTTTTCTAACAGACATACTCATAAAATATCAGCCAGTTCTTCACTAGAAAAATAGACTATGCAACCCAGTCAAGTGTTAATAAATATTTATGTTCGAATTTGCTAATATTCAACAAATTAAACATTGACAATAATAAGGTATTTTCACCTATAAAATGGACAACTATTAAATACTGAGTGTTAGAGAAGAGTCCTTGAAACATACACTGATGTAATTTGTACATTTAGCATTATTTATCAAGATGTTACAAAAGAGCCAACCCCTTTGACTTAAATTTCCATTCTAATTTAAGGGAATAGTCAAGACCAAAAATACTGTACAAAGAGGATCACTTAAGTGAATTTTTAGTGGCAAAAACAGAAAAAAAAACTATGTGACCATTATAGAGGAATAAGTAAATTACCACATTTCCCACATGTCTATAGCCATTAAAAGATTATGTGTTAGCAGATTATCTAATAGCATGGAAAATTTTCAATGTGTTTAATTATATACACAAAAGATTAATTTTGTGAAAATCATCTATCTGTATATATACATGCATGGCTGGGGTGGGAGGGATGGAGATGGCTACAAAAATATGTACCTACAAATAGAGGTTACTTCTGAATGGTGATTTTTCTGAATTTTACTTTTTAAACATGTTATTTTAGATTAGAAATATATAACTTATGTTTAAAACAAAATGCAAAGCTGTGTTTTTTTCCTTTTTAAGTAAAGATGTTTAAAAATGGAATTTGTTAATTTTTTCATTATTTTTGAATCCAAAGTCAGAATGTGGAAGATTTATTTCAAAGTCAATCCTTCATTTTTCCTCAAACTCCTCTTTGGACACAGTTAGGGCCATGTTGTGGAAGGAACAGAAGACATTAACACACTTCACACCCAAATAGGTCTTTTTGTTTAGGACCATTAAATCACAGATTGGTAGATTACATGGGTCATCTTATTTAACCCTGTATCCGAAACAGAGATCTCTTCTGTCAATCTATGAACTGGTGCTTCACTAATTCCTGAAAAGGAATATGCATAGGAGTGCCTATTATAATTATGGATGGCTGTAAATGTTAGAAAATATTTTCTGAAACTGAATCAATGTCTCCCTATAATTTCCACACCTCTGCAACTGCACAAAATTAGTCTAACCTATTTGCACATAGCAGTTCTCTATTATTCAAATACTGTACTCATGACTTTGCACTAATCCCACCTTTACCCTTAGAAAGCTTTCTATTTTTAAGTTTAATGTTCAGAAACTTGGAATCATTAGCTCTATGGTGTCATAATTCTGGTTGTCTTGCTCTGAACATGGTACAGATTGCCCATGTTCTGTTAAAATGTTAGGCTACAATAGGTGTGGTCTAATTTATGCAAGTGTACATCTGACTTCTCCCAATATGCCTTCCTTTGGTTATTCTGAGTCACAGGATGAGACTGTCATTGTCTCTTCGAAATCCCATCACTTGTACTCTATTATTTTTCCCATCACTTCTACCTTAGCACCAACTTCTCATATGATCAGAATTAAATCTAAAGTAGTAACTCTTCTTGACTTTCCTTTATCACCTAAAAGCTGAAGGGACTCTGTCTGCATATGGAGACCTGAAAGATCTTCACCATTTCCTTATCTTCCCTGCACAACGTTTTTTTGTGGGGGAATGACATAGAACAAGCACTCTAAATAGCACCACTCATATTTGTCTTCTATTGTTATCCACATGCTCTAAACTCTCTTCCACTCACAAGCTACAACTGACTTTCTAGGAGCTCTCTTGCCATAGTTAATTTATCTCCTATTCTATCACACAGTTTTCTTTTTAACCTACCAAGTAGAAGACAGAAGGCTACAGTTAAAAAGCACAGTCCAAAATTCTGTACTGTATGTAACCTACTGTCAATTTGTTAGTACCTCTCCACATAAAAATTACTAGGAAAATCCTCACAACATCTTTTAGAGGCCAGAAGCAAGGAAAGAAGAGCAGCTCAGGAAACTGTTCACTCCCCATCCCTGGAATAAGGGAGTGTGACTGGGTAGAGTGTGAGGTGGCAGCTCCCAAGCACAAAGAAAACAAAGTGTAGAAAGTCAGTCCAAATGGCAGACTGACCCTGTCAAACCTACCTCCCACAACAGTTGTGAAGATGCCTTGAGAACATGGTAGAAATACCCTTCACTGGCACAGTTAACAGAGGCAGAGTATTAGTTGGAGCCCCTGAGGTCTCGGTCCAGAAAGCACACAAATTTAAAAGTGGGCCTTTACACAGGGCTTAACACTAGGCATCATTTTAAGTATCTTACATATAACTCATTTAATCCTATAGCCACCATGTGGGATAAATATTGTTGTTACTGTTGTTGCTCTGGTTGTTCCCAAAAAGATGTAATGTAACTTGGCTATGATCACACAGCCAGTAAATGGAAGAAGAGGGATCTGGGGCCAGCCAACTCTCGAGTCTGGGTGTTTAACCATTACACTATGCTTCCTTTCCAGTAAACTATTCAACCACATAGTTCTATTAATCTGAGAACATGGAAGGGTACAGACCCCCAACATATATCACTCAATCTATTTTTCAAAAGAAGTAATTCTTCCCCCAAATTCTGATTACCTTTTAAAAAGCCATCCTTTTGACTGACAGCTGAACAAAAATATTTACAATTAGATCTGATTATACCATTTCTTATTAACAACAAAGTCCAGGATAGAGTCTACCTTCTTTGCATATGAAGTCACCATAGTCTGAACATGTATCACTTCTTTTCTATGCATCAGCAATTCTGATTTGCCTGTAATGCTTAACATACCATGTTACCTTACGCCTCCTTTGTACATGTATATGCTCTGACCTTGGTAAAGTCCTCTAACATCAATAAAAAAAAATCTGTCCCTAACTACCCCATCTTCTTCACACAGATGTAATCACTTTTTCTGCACTATTTTTCTACCTATTTCCTTTATCAAGGCACATGTCATTATCTGTTCACATTGCCTGTCTTCCTAAACTACACATTAAATTCTACAAAAGCAGGGACCTGGTGCCTAACAGACACATAAAAAAGATTAAACTGATTAGAACACAGAACAGAAGAAAAATTAAAATGGGCAAAATAAGGATAAATGGAGAAATAAAAGAGAATAAGAAAATAAAATTAATGTGAGAAAAGAGGGCAGAAAATTAAGGAACACTGTGTTTTTAAAAGGCAGTGGGTTTAAAAAAATAAATAAAAGCAGTGGGTTTTGAATACCCACTGAATATAAAGTATGTATGTGCCCTGCTAGGTAAAACTGGGCAATGTGACACAACTGATTTGCGTAAACACAGTTCACGTTAGGCCGTAGCATGTGTTGAATGATTAACAGCACGGACTCTGCTGCTACATGCCCTAGGTTCAAAGGCCTTGGTTCCACAGAGCTAAGGTCCCTAGATCCCTTCAGCTTTGTGACCCTAAGTTACTCAACTTCTCCATGCCATAGTTTTCTTTCACCTGTACAACACACAAAACAACTGTACTTACCTCAATGGGTTGTTGTGTGAATGAAATTATAACTATATGTAAATCCCTTCCACAAATGCCCTGCCTATAGGAGGCAGTAAGTATTGACTACTACTTCGAAGGCACTGGAAGTGGACTGCCAGTGCTGAAATGCAAGCTTTATTATGAATTAGAGGCAGACCTGAGGAAAACTATTTAATTTCTGTAGGTCTCTATTCTGTGGCCAGACTGCTTTGCTTTTCTTCTTAGACATGTAGCTAGTCTCCATTTCCCAGCTCCCTGCCGACAAGTGTGGCCATGTGCCTGAGGTCCAGCTGAGGACAGGAAGTCCACATTTCCATTTCCAGGCCCAGACATCACAAAATCTCCAAAGCAGGATCTTCCCTGTTCTTTCTCCTTTGCTGCCTTCATGTAGACAAGGACATCAGCCCTCCAGGGCAAAGTCTTCCCTGTTCTTTCTCCTTTGCTGATGTGATGCAGACAAGCACACCGCAGATAGCCAAGCTATAACTGGAAGGCATCTGGGTTCCTCAATCACTGCTTGCTGGGTTGGGGGGTCACCCACTAACCAGGAACTCCTGGTTTTAACTTTATGTGAACAAAGAATCAAACTTCACTGAGTTAAGTCATTGAAATATTAGTGTTTGTCTCTGTTAACAGCTACTTTCGTCTAATTAAGAATTTTCTTATTTGCAGAATGGGAATAATATTATGAGAATTAAAACAGCACAGTACATGGCACATAGTAACTATTAAAAACATTTGTTATCATTATAGACTGTTTTTATTAAGTCCAAATTCAGTTGTCCTGTCTCCTATATTTAGCCTTTCTTTTAAGACTCAAAGCGTTATTTCTTAGGAAATCGTATTTCTACCCTTATGAGCTTTCTCTTCATATGCCACAAAATAATTTGGCATCATATAATGTGTTGTCTTATTTGTTTCATGTCTCTGTGGAAAAATTGTGCATATCTGAGGGCAGCAACACTCTATACCATCTTCTGTATCCCATAACACTCCAAGATTGTAACTGACTGCACATCAAGTCTGGGTGTGGCCAAAGGCCACCAGTCACAGGGCCTCGGATGTCTGCCCTGATGGGCTGAAGCTGACTAGCTCAGTGGGTTAGGAATTAATGCTTTTATTGTTGAATGAATAAAAGAGTGAATGAAAAAATAAAAGCAATTTAATTATGTTCCATGGTCATAAATAAGCCTTCCATTTTTCAGAAATCCTTACTACTATTCAAAAAAGCAAAAGAACACAGGGGAAGGATCAACATTTATTACCAATGCTGAACCACTGAACCACAGCTGACAGTGCATTGGCAGCAAGGCAAAACCTTTGTGAATTATCCTTGAACTAGAATTTAATACACAAATATAGCAAAGATTAAAATGAAAGCTTTACCTCACCATGTTCAAGGAGCTGTTTTCTGGAATAAAAAACATTCTCTATTTACTGAATGTCCATTATGATTACATAAATACAAACTTAATTTATTTGTTCTTAAGTTTAAGAAATTTGATTCTCTCTACTCAGTAAATAAAAATTAGACAATATCACTAAAAATTATAAAAATTTGAAAGGCATGATTTATAGTCATCCTATGTAAGGTATATTAAAAAAGTCATGCTTTGGTTAAGATAAAATAGATTTTACTGATTGCTGGAGACTATACCTCTAGAAAGATTTAAAGAAAAATAATTTCTATTAAATATTCAACCATGTACATAAAACTCTGAGCAACCTTGAGTGTTTCTTCAGAATAAACTTCCAGAAGAAAACTTACTGGATAAAGCATATAAATATTTTTAGTTCTACAAAAATTTATGTCTAAAGAACCTATTGAGCTCTGGGCACTGTGAAGTGAACACAGTCTGAATGGTGTTGATGTTGTTGTTCCCCTCTTAGCTTGTGTGTTACACTCGTACCAGGGGTATGGACTGCCTGTTTAGTTGCTCCATTGAGAAAGTGGAAGACTCTGGTTTTACATGCAGAGGTTTTCTTCTATTATGGATTTTGGGGTTGGAGAGAAAAGTAATGCAGCTCAAGTAAGACACTAAGAGGTAAGGAAGTTCAAGGGCACACACAGATCCAGAGGGTGTTTGTTTGTTTGTTTGTTTGTTTTTAAAGGCTGGTCAGGGGGTGGCCTGTCAGGAGAGCTGTGCCATCACCAAATCACTCTGCCTCTGTTGCAGCTTGGCCCTGACTTGCCTGGTAGAGGGGGTGGGTAGGGGGCTTCCCACCTGTCCTGAAATCTACTGGTCACAACAGGATCCTGCGGTGAGCGGCTGTGTGCAAGGGAGGACAGGCCCTGACAATAATTGCTGATGCAAATAAATCTAGTAGCTAATCTAAAATATGAACGTACAATGAAATCTGCAAACATACAGATGATATAAATTGATGAAGAGCAATAACAGATGTTCGAAAAAGAGAGGCTAAAGCAAAAGATTAAGAGAGCCGACAATTCTCTGAGGTAAAGGATGTTGTGAATGTTCAGATTAAAATGTCCCATGAACTAATAAACATGTAAAATACATACACTCATGTATACATATGTACATTCATATCTCAAACTCCATAAATTTCCAGAGAGCAAAACTTTATATAAAATTTCTCATTGGTAATGCTCAATGCTAGAAAAAAATTGTCTATAGAATTTTTAAACATTTTATTTATTTATTAGAGAGAGAGAGAGATTGAGAGAATGAGTGGGAGGAGGGGCAGAGGGAGAAACAGACTCCCTACAGAGAAGGGAGCCAGACATGGGACTCGATCCCAGGACCTTGGGATCATGACCTGAGCTCAAGTCAGATGCTTAACTAACTGAACCACCATGGCATCCAATAATTATCTACAAAATGCTTTAAATAAAAAAACGAAACCAGAAGTATCTATTCACCAAACCATCAACTTAATGTGGGCAAAGTAAAGGTGTTTTTCAAATAAAAATGCACCCACCAATCCTTGGGTTGAGGACCCATGCAATCCTCATTGATGCTAAACTCAGTTGCACAGACACTACACTGCTGAGCCTTCCCCAGGAATGGAAACAGCACACCTTACCCAGCTGGCTCCTTACACCCACCTGCAAGTGAATGTCTTTCCTCTCCAAAACCAGTCCTTAAAGTCAGAAAGAAGTGATTCCTCCATCAAATATGAAGACATCAATGAAAGGCTATAAGAAACATGAAAAAACAAGGAAGCCTGACACAACCAAAGGAACACAATCATTTTCCAGTAACTGACCCCACAGAAGTAGAGATCTGTGAATTGCCAAAGAATTTAAAATAATTGTTTTAAGAAAGATGAGTGAACTACAGAGAATGTAGACAACACAATAAAATCAGGAAAACAAGTCATGAACAAAACAAGTTTAACTGCGAACTAGAAGTTATAAAAAAAAGAACTAAAAAAAATTCTAGAAGTAAAGAATGCAATGAATGAAAATGAAAAATGCAATTTACAACATCAACAGGAGACCTGATCAAGCAGAAGAATGAATCTGGGAACTTGAAGACTGATAAACTGAAATTATCCAGTAAGAAGAGAAAAGGAAAAAAGAATGAAAAAGAGAGAAGAATGCTTATGTGAATTATGAAATGCCATCAGGAGAAACAATATTTACATTATGGCAGCCTAAGAGAGAAGAGAGTGAAAAAGGGCAGAAATCTTATTTAAAGATCAGTTGAAATTTTGCCAAATCTGGAGACAGATATGTATATCAAGTACATGAGGCTTCATAGTCACCAATACAAATTTAATCTCCCAAATTCACTAGATACATTATAATGAAACTATAAAAACCAAAGACGATGAATTGTCAAAGCAGCAAATTATCTCATATAAGGGAACCCCCATAAGGCTGTTAGTGGATTTCTCAGCAGAATCCTTGCAGGTCAAGAGAGGATGGGATGATATATTCAAAATGCTGAAATTAAAGGATCTGCCAATTAAGAATACTTCAACCAGCAAAGCTGCCCTTCAAATGAAGTGAAAGAATAACTCTCAGACAAACAAAAGCTGAGGGACTTCATTACCACTAGACCTGCCTTACAAGAAATGCTAAAGGGAGTTATTCATGCTGAAATGAAAGAATGTTAAGAGTAATCTGAACACCTATGAAAGTATAAAACTCACCATAAAGTTAATTATACAGTCAAATTATTAACACTGTACTGCTGTAATAGTGCCATGTAAATCACTGAAATCTAGTATAAAAGTAAAAAAAAAAGTATTTAAAAATGAATATAGCACAACAATTTGTTAATGTATATACCAATATAAACAGATATAAACTGTAACAGCAAAAGGATAAGTAAAAAGGCAGAATTTTTATATGTGATTGAAGTTAAGTTTTTGTCAGCTTGAAATAGACTGTTATAACTATAAGATGTATTATGTAAGCTTCATGATAACCACAAAGAAAAAAAATACAGTAGATTCGCAGAAAATTAAGAGAAAGGAAACAAAGCGTTATTATTACAGAAAAAGAATACAGCATGAGAGGAAGAAGGGAACTATGAAATGGAAAACAACCAGATGATAACAAGATAACAAGTCCTTATCTATCAATAACAATCTTAAATATAAATGGATTTAGGGGTGCCTGGGTGGCTCAGTGGGTTAAAGCCTCTGCCTTTGGCTCAGGTCAAGATCCCAGGGTCCTGGGATCGAGCACTGTGTCAGGCTCTCCACTCAGCAGGGAGCCTTCTTCTCCATCTCTCTCTCTCTGCCTGCCTCTCTACTTGTGATCTCTCTGTTGAATAAATAAATAAAATCTTTAAAAAATATACATAAATGGATTTAATTCTCCAACCAAAAGACAGAAAGTGGCTAAATGAATTAAAAAACAAAAAAACAAGGGGCGCCTGGGTGGCTCCATGGGTTAAGCCTCTGCCTTAAGCTCGGGTCATGGTCTCAGGGTCCTGGGATGGAGCACCGCATCGGGCTCTCTGCTCAGCAGGGAGCCTGCTTCCCTCTCTCTATCTGCCCGCCTCTCTACCTACTTGTGCTCTCTCTCTTTAAAAAAAAAAAAAAAAAAGACAATTACATGCTGCCGACAAGAAGCTCATTTTAGCTCTATGGACACATTAAGATGAAAATGAAGGGATGAAAAAAGATACTCATTCAAATGGAAACAAAAAGAAAGCAGGGGTAACTCTACATATCATACACATACACACACACACCTATAGATGACACATATCTAAACCTAGATCTCAATTTATATTCTGGGTGAAATAGACTAAGTTGAAACTGTAACAAGAGACAAACAAAGTCACTGTATGATGATAAAGGTGTCAGTTCATCAAGAGGATATAGCAGTTGTAAATCTATATGTAACCCAACATTGGAACACCTAAATAAGTTAAGCAAATATTAATAGATCAGAGAGGAGAAATAGAAAACAGTGCTAAATAGAAGGACTTCAATACCCAATTCCAGCAATGGGTGGATCATCCAAACAGAAAATCAATGAGAAAATACTGGACTTGAACTACAATTTAGACCAAATGGACCTAACAAATATACACAGAACATTCCATCCAACAGCTGGAGAATACATATTCTCCTCAAATGCACACAGAACATTCTATGGATAGATCCTATGTTAGGTCACAAAACAATCATTAACAAATTTAAGACTGAAATCATATCAAGTATCTTTTCTGACCACGACAGTATGACATTAGAAATCAATAAAGTAGGAAAGATAGAAAATTCACAAATACATGGAAATTGAACAATCTAATCCTGAACAATTGATGGGTCGAAGAAAAAATCAAAAGGAAATAAAAAATATCTTGAAACAAATAAAAATAACACAACATACCAAAACATACAGGATGCAGCAAAAGTTCTAAGAGAGGATTTTATGATAAGTGCTTACATCAAGAAAAGAAGATTTCAAATAAACAATTATACACTTCAAGGAACTAGAAAAAGAACAAACTAAGACCAAAGTTAGTAAAAGGAAAGAAGAAACAAAGAAACAAAGGTCGTAAGAGAAATAAAAGAAACAGAGACAAGAAACAATAGAAAACATCAACAAAAATTAAGAGCTGATCTTTCAAAAAGATAAAATTTATAAGCCTTTAGTTAGACTAAGAAAAAAAGATTTAAATAAATAAAATTAAAAAATGAAAGAGGGAACATTAAAATTGATACCACAAAAATACAAAGGGTCATAAGAGACTATTATGAACAATTATACACCAACAACTGGATACCCCGAAGAAAGAACATATTCCTAGAAATAACCTACCAGGACTGAATCATGAAGAAAAAGAAAATCTGAATAAAATTAAAACTAGTAAGGGGGGGCAGCAATGTGACTCAGGGGGTTAAGCGTCTGACTCTTGATTTCAACTCTGGTCATGATCTCAGGTCCCAGGAATTGAGCTCTACATCAGGTTCTGCACTCAGAGTGAAGTGTGGTTGTCCCTCTCCCTCTGCTTCTCCCCCCACACCTCCACTCTCTGTCTCTCAAAAATAAATACATAAAATCTTAAAAAAAAAAAAACTAGTAAGGAGACTGAATCAGTAATCAAAAAAAATCTCTCTCAAAAAAAAAAAAAAAAAAAAGAAGTGGAGGACCAGATGTCTTCACTAGAGAATTCTACCAAACATTTAAACAAGAATTAATGCAAATCTTTCTCGAATTTTTCCAACAGACTTAAGATAAAGGGACATGCTTAATATCATTTTACAAGGCTAACATTACTCTCATACTGAAGTAAAATGAGGATAATAAAAGAAAAGAATTTTGTAGGCCAATATCCCTGATGAACATAGATGCAAAAAGCCTCAACAAATACTAGAAACCAAATTCAACATCATATTAAAAGGATCATGCAACATGAGCAGGTGGGATTTTATCTTTGGAATACAAGGATAGTTCAATATACACAAATCGATAAATGTGATATGCCACATTAAAAGAATGAAGGATAAAAACCATATGATCATCTCATTAGACACAGAAAAAAGCATTTGACAAAATTCAAAACCCCTCCATGGTAAGAAGTCTTAACAAATTAGGTAAAAAATGAATGTACCTCAACAGTACAATGGCGTATAATATATGACAAGCCCAAAGTTAACCTCATCCTCAATGTTGTAAAATCTCTAAGTTGTTCTTCTAAGATCAAGAACAAGAAAAGGATGCCCACTCTAACTATTTCTCTCCACCTTATACTAAAAGTCTTATACTAAAAGTCTAATCAATGCATTAGGCAAGAAAAAGAAATTTAAAAAAATAATAAAGGTAAAAGTAAAACTATCTATGTTTGCAGATGACATGATTTTATATGCATAAAACCCTAAAGACGTCACAAAAAAACTGTTAAAACTAATAAATAAATAAAGTTGTGGAATACCAAATCAACACACAAAAATCAGCTGCATTTCTACACAATCACAATGAACCATCTAAACAGATAATTTAGAAAGCAATCTCATTTATAATAGCATCAAAAACAATAAAGCACTTAGGAATACATTTCACAAAGGAGAAGCTAGACCTCTATACTGAAAACTATGAGACACTGATAAAAGAAACTGAAGACAACACAAATAAATAGAAAGATATTCTATGCTTTTGGTTTGGAAGACATATGTTAAAATATCCATACTACCCAAAGCAATCTACAGATTTAATGCAATCCCTATCAAAATCCAATGACATTTTTCACAGATATAAAAAGAACAATTCTAAAATTTATATGGAACCAAAAAAGACCTTAAATTTCCAAGATAAACTTGGGAAAGCAGAACAAAGCTACAGGTATTACACTTCCTGATTTCAAACCATACCACAAAGTTATAGTAATCAAAACAGTACAGGTACAGGAATAAAAAGACACATAGATCAATGGAACAGAATAGAGAGCCCAACAATAAACCCATGCACATACGGTCAATTTATCTTTGATAAGGGCACAAACACACAATGGGGAAAAGATAGTGTTTTCAATAAATGATGGTTGGAAAACGATATTCACATGCAAAACCATGTAACTAAGCTCCTATCTTACACCACTCACAAAGATTAAGTTGACAGGAGTCTTAGCAATAAATTTTTGAATCTGGCAACCAAAATCACCAGCAACAAAAGGAAAAATAAACAAGTGTGACGACATCACCTAAAAAGTTTCTGCATAGCAAAGGAAAAAAATCAACAAAATGAAAAGGTAACCTATGGAATGGGAGAAAATATTTGCAAACTGTGTATCTGATATGGGGTGAATATCTGGAGTACATAAGGAACTCATACAACTCAATGGCAAAAAAATATATGATAATAATCTGATTTTTAAATGGGCAAATGACTTGAAAAGACATTTTGGAAAACAGTATGGCGGTTCCTCAAAAAATTAAAAATAGAACTGCCATATGATCCAGCCATCATACTCTTGGGAATATATCCAAAATAATCAAAATCCATACTTTGAAGTGATATCAGCACTTCCATGTTCATTGAAGCATTATTCACAATAGCCAAGATATAGAAATAATGTAAGTTGATGGACAAGCAGATAAAGAATATGTGGGGTGTGTGTGTGTGTGTGTGTGTGTGTGTGTGTGTATACACATACATACATACATGCAATGGAGTATTATTCAGTCATAAAAAAAGAAGGAAATCCTGCCAATTGTGATAACATGGATGAACCTGAAGGGCGTTATGCTATGTGAAATAGGCCAAAGGAAAAAAATACTTTATGGTATCATTTACATGTGGAATCCAAAAAAGAGAAAAAAGTCAAACTCAGAAACAGAATAGAATGGTGGTTGCTGAGGCTGTGTAATGGGGGCTAACAGGGATGATGTTCATCAAAGGGTACAAACTTTTAGTTATAAGATGAAGAAGTTCTGAGAAACTGATATACAGCATAGTGACTGCAGTTAATAATACCATATTATATAAAGTTTGCTAAGAGTGTGGATCTTAAGCATTCTCACACACAGAAAGGTAACTGTGAGGTGAGGGATGTGTTAGATGTGTTATTAACTTAATTGTGGTAATCATTTCATAATGTATCTATAATCATATGTATATACATCATATGTATTTGGCAAAAAATGAAAATTATGAAAGAAAATATTTGGAAATAATTTAATGATTTTGATGTGGGTGTTTCTAAGTAATAAATTAACCCAGAAAATGTATAGGAGTGACTGTAAAGAAATTTTAAACTTCTATAAAGCAAAAACCATTAATAAATTATAAACTAATATCCTAGAAGAAATGTTATATACATGTAATAGGCAAAAGGTTACTGTCTATAATATAAAATATCCTATACATCAATTTTCAAGTGGTCAAGAAACATAAATATGCCACGCACATTTGAAAGATGTGAAACTTTACTAGGGAAGACTGGTAAAATTAGTTCCTTTTTTTTTAATCTGTCAGAAAGAAAAAGTTAAATGTTTGATAATACTGGTGTTTACGGAGCTGCAAGGAAATGGACACTTTCAGCATTAGTTTTCAGTATTTATCGAATTATAAATATTCATACATTATGATCTAGCAGTCTTATTTCAATATCCTAAATACTAAAATAAGTATGCAAAGAATACATACAAATATGTTCTTACTCTTAGCACTGGTTGTTATGACAAAAAGATAAACAGAATCTTAACGCCCACTGATGTGGGAGTGGTTAAGTACTTGGTAATCATTCATGATGACAAACAATAAAATGTGGAGACCACTAAAAAGTATGAAGAAGATATAGGCAGACACCCAAGATACACTATTAAGTAAAAATAAAAAGTTACATAATAATACTGATTCTATTTTTTTATAAAAACACTGTTTTTGGAAATGTTTTCTAGAATGATACATACAAAACCATTTACAATCAGCACCAGTGAGGAGTAGATCCAAGGGAGAGAAACACTCCCTCTTTCTTTGAAATATTTCATCTGTATGTCTTACTATATGCATGTATTATTTTGTAATTAAAAAACTCCTCTACATCCCTCCCCCACCACACACACAATCCTGTCACTTCCAGGAATGTAATCACCTTCTTATTTTGAGCTAAATATCTTCTCCCTTTGGTCCCCTTGAGTCTGTCTTCTTCTACACAGCACCCTCTCAAATATTGGAAGACAGCTGTCATGTAATTCTCAATCTTCTATTATTCAATTAAATATCCCAGATGCCATCATGCATTCCTTATGTGAATAGTTCTCAGAGCTCTAAAAACACTCTTTTTACAATGTTAAGGCATATTGCTCTGAGGTCCCTCAGACCAGAGCAAAGTAGAGTAGGTTATTAAGCCCTTTGATTTGGATTTTGACAAATAAGATTAAACTATTTCAACCATAAAGTTCTATTAAGCCCTTCTGATAACCATACGAAACTGTTTACTGAAAATATAAGCATGGGGTACAGGACTGATAGAATCTCTCTGTACTATCTTCACAACTATTCCGTAAATCTGAAACTGTCCTAAAAAATAAATTTCGTTAATACATCAAATTTAATCATATATCTGCAAGTATAAAATGTAATTTAAGGTTTTCCTCATAAGGAGGTTTTCTTCACAATCTCACATGTCCTGTAGCAATGTGTGATTTGAGTTATATTTTTCTCACATATATTTATGCCCGCGAAGTTAGTGACTTCACTTAAACCACCAAAAAAAATGTGATACAGCAAATGGTTTTAATAATAAATGCAGAAAAACTACTTCATGAATATGCAGAGAAACAAATAATTATGTTTTCTCTGAAAGTTAAAAAAACAAGGATTGCTAAAACAAAACTTTAGCTTATTTCTGTTTATGGACTTTATATATTAAAATTAAACTAAATTGATTAAAACTTTGAATTAATTAAAATAGAAATATCTCCAAAACAAGTCCAAACACATAAAAGAGGTGTCTAAAAATAATATATATTTTTTAAAGAGAACATCTAAGATTGGTTCATGTCTCCTTTCTTAATCAAACTGCTGGTTTAATATACATTCATTTGATATTACAGTAGTTATTTAATAACGGAATACAGTATGATTTAAAAACAATTATGATATAATTACCTTAGATAAGTATTTGCAGATAAGACACACAAAACATCACGATAAGCCTGTGAATAGAATAAATTAACTTTTCTAAGGAATTATGTGACATTTAAAATGCTCTGATTTATAAACATAAACACCCTCACTAGAAAGAAGTGTTTTTATTGTTAAAGTGAGTCATCAGGAGCACTTTAATCCCACCTCTGCCTCAGGCAAATATTTTCGTGAAGTTCTAAATTCTTTTATTAAAAAAAAAAAAAAAAGAAAGAAAGAAAAGGGCGTTGGGGTAAATCTTTAAGGTCCATTTCAACTCTAAAATTCTAAGCTCTTACACGTGGACAGCTCCTTATTAGAGTTTATATTTTACTGGGAAGGAAGTGGGCTGCAAGTGGGGAATTGGTTTCCACCAAGGAGGCACCTTCTTCCATGTACTTTGAGACTATTTTATCTTAACCTTCCAAGCAAAGCAGGACTCTCTCTCTCCTTCCCCCAACCCTCCCTTGCCCCACCCGCCCACCTCCTCCCACCCATGCAGTTTATATTCCTGCTTCAGTAAACTTCTGATTCTTATAAAAATTAGCTGTGGCATATCTTCTTCCCTGATCTAGCTCCCCCGGAAATAACAACAGAAGGCCGAAGTGCGCTTACCACAATGTACCACTTGATGGTGAGGGAGGAAGGGAGGAGTGAAGGTGAATGTGGGGGCTTAACTGGGCCAAAGAGTTTTTAGCTGCATCCTAGGCAACTTAAAGGTATAGTAAAAAAAATTATGGGGAACTTCAAGTTTTACACTGTGCATAATATGTGGATGAATGTTTCAAGTGACACAAGTGAGATTCTGGTCACTTAGGCAAGCAAAAAGCCTATTTAGTTTAGTTAATAGAACATATGCACTCATAGGAGTTCAAAATTCAGTAGTTTCACAGAAAAATCGTACGATATTTGCTTTCCTTCTTTCTTCCCAGAAGCGATTTCATACAACTGAAAAAGTAAATGAACATCAGAAGTATTCTTGAGGAAAAAAAAAATAAGCCACAATGGGACAAATAAAAAGGAAGGGTTTATATGGAGACAGAAAAGTGTTACACTTTAATGGGTACAGGGAAGGGGACATGTCTGCGCACACGTGTGTGTGCATATGCAGTAAATGCACAAAAATGCCTTTTAATGCATATGCATGGCTTGAACTGTGGTGTGTTTGGGAGCTAGTACTATGTTTATGAGTCGTGGATCTTAATTTTATGAAGATAGTAATAGTGGATCTAGCTGTCATTTTCTCCCATGTTAGCGATATCCCCACTGAGTAGTTAATTCCTGCATTAGCTCCTCTAAGTGGAGCCTTCAAAGAATAGCACCATTTGTCATGATGAAACAGAAACAGGCTAGTGGAGAGTTAGATGGAGCCAAAGGGACACGGTGTGTAGTTACCCATTTCTTCTTACTACCCCAATCCTCTTTCCAAGTGGTCTCTAGGGAATTGGGTCAAGGGAGAAACCACAGAGATGTAGAGGCAGATGCCTTTCTCACTCAAATTGTTCACATTTTATGTGAAAACACAGGAATGAGAAATGTGGGAGCTGGAACTATAGAGAGAGGAAAAGCAATTTGACTTTAAATAAAGAAAACCAGTTTTAACAGGACCACACCTGGTATAGTAGTAGAGAAATGTTATTGCTATCGACTTGAAGGTATAAAATAAATACATACTGACTTAAGACAACCTCTAAACAATATAAAGATGGTTCAAAAATGCTAAAAACTAAGACCCAGTGTTTTTAGCTAGAATTTTAGATACACCACTCCCAGACCAAGAAAATCTGCCAGAGGTATTTTAGAACATTATTTCTTTTATCATAGTAATATTTCTTTTGTTGGGAAAATAAATAGAATACACAATGTTTTAAAGAATTTCTATACAAAATTCTCCTGTGCGTGTCTTAAAATGGATCAAGACTTGCTTGAATGTGCTTTATATTCAGAAGATACTGAACTGTTGTTTTCCTTCCACAGCTCCTTCGACAATTTTAATTCTTCAAACTGTGCGATTATTTGCTTGAAGCCCACCAAGACTGTAAGTTCCCAGACAGGAGAAGACCTGTTTTATTTGTCCCAGTGGACTAACACTGTGAATGTAGTTTATGGTACATAGTGGGTAACTGATTTCTTTTGAAAGAATAAGAATATCCTTTCTGATGAGGCTTTCTAAAAAACTCATATAATAATTTTTAAAAAACCATATAATAATAAAGAGAAAGCTGAATAAGAAATTTTTTAAGGGAGGTATGGATTCCTCCTAAAAATAAAATGGAATTCCCAGTTATTAGCATTAATGCACTATAGTCCTTATCTTGAACCCAAAAGCAAGTGAAAAAATTTTTTAAAAATACCTTTTTAAAGATAAAATAAGTAATCGTCATAACAACTGGAAGCAATAATGTCTTTGTATATCTCAATGGAGTCTGAAATAAAGCAAATTATTCAAAATAGTCATTTATTAAATTTTACAGTAAATGAGTAAAAATCTGTCAAATTGAGTATCTCAATGAAATTTTTTTTCTTTCTTTTTTTTTTAATATTTATTCATTTGACAGAGAGAGACACAGCATGAGGGGGAACCCAAGTCTGGGGAGTGAGAGAGGGAGAAGCAGGCTTCCCGCTGAACAGGGAGCCCGATGTGATGGGGGGCTTGATCCCAGGACCCTGGGATCATGACCTGAGCCAAAGGCAGCTGCTTAACCACTGAGCCACCCAGGTGCACCTCACAGTGAAATTCCTTAAAGGTAAAAATGTTTTTGTCATTAATGTTATATATATTTATCAACCTTCATCTTCTACTACAAGAATGAAAATTATAAAAAAATTATATAAATGTAGCAAAGATTTTAACAGTAAAAAACATTAAACCAGAAATAAGCTATGTCTATTATTTTTTCCTTTCTTTTGGTTTTATCTTTCTTTTATTTACATAATATTAATTCTTAAATTTTATGTTTACTGATCCCCAGACCCTACATTATCATTTCCTGAGCTGCAAAGTTCCATTATTTTCATTGGTGAAACTAGAACAAACAAGGAAGAAAGCCAGTCTATGTAATAACTGTAAATATGAGTAAGCAATAAAATAACATCAGCAGCTAAATAATTCTCATGACCCATTATTGTGGTCTGAGAGATTTACCATGTCACTGAATTAAGTACTTCTTGAAGGCAGGAACCAAGACATTTTCCTCCTTGTAGTCAGCAAACTGCCTCACAGATAAATAAATAGTACTCATAATAGTTTTTGAGTGAATGTATGACTGGTTGGATAAAAAAGAGAATAATGTATGATTAGTAGTATACCTTTCATGGCAGCATCTTGTTAAAATTTTTTTATAATATTTGGAGTGTTGAGTGAAATAAAACTAAAGTTTCTAAAAATCAAAAGAGAATTTGGATTTGAGCAGGTGACCTAGATTATTAAAAGTAATTGAACTGTATGGGACACCTGGATGGTTCAGTTAGTTAAACATCTGCCTTTGGCTCTAGTCACGATCCCAGGGTGCTGGGATCAAGCCCATCATGGGCTCTGTGCTCACTGGAAGTCTGGTTCTTCCTCTACCTCTGACCTGCCCCTGTTCAAGCTCTGGCTCTCTCTCGTCTCTCAAATAAATAAATTAAAAACAACCTTTTAAAAAAATACATGAAAAATATATTTATGTTAAATATATTTAAATATATTTATATTAAAGTATTCAAATATATTTAACATAAATATATTAAATAACATAAATATATATTTTATATATTATAGAATATGAAATATATAATATAGAATATAATGTATAGAATATAATATATAGTATAAATATAAATTATTTATATTGAAAATGTATTAAAAAAATGAAAGCAATTGAACTGTGGATCAGAGAGTATGTTCAGCACTCTTCCTGGATTATCTCATTTAATCATCATCAATAACTCTTTAAGATAGAAGTTACTATATGACTAATAAAAGTTATAATAAAAAAATGATAAAGTTGGATGTCTCTGGACAAAAATTGTGAGTTTCAGACTACAAGGGAAATTCAAGAGCAAAAAACTATCATACCTGTAGAAAAGGAAAAAAAATCAAAAAAATATTCATACCGCTTTTTCCATGAAGTCAAATTCAGGAGCACAGGTGTAAATTAAGGTATCAAAATCTGTATACCTTAGGATTCTGGCTGCTATAAGGTCACTCAAGCGAATCTGAGAAGAAAATAAAATAAAATAAATTAAAATTACCCTAGGAATTATGGTCAATAATAATTGATTTGTTTTATTAGTAAAGTCTACAAAGGAGATAATCCAAGGTCCACAGATGCCCCTCAAAGAAAAATTTTTAAAAAATCCATGAACTATACATTCCTATGTACTGAATTATGAAGAAAACTGAAAACAAAGGGAAATATCACAAAAAATGAAAAGAAGAACAGAGGTCAGAAAAAATTAAACAGAGATGATAATATAAAGAGTGAGCTAAGACCAATACTCACTGGGCAGAAACCACCATGCAGTTAATCATGAGATTTTATAATCAGCATTTATTAGGAAGGAAACTATCTCACATAACCCTTTCACTACATATCGCAAATCATGATTAAATTTTCTATGTGTTGTTATTTTCTCAAAGCCTCATACACTGGTTACAATTTTTGGTGCTTGTTGAATTTTCCAGACATACACTCAAGCCATTAAACATAAGAGCTATTCATCATAAGAACTGCAACTACAAACACTACTTTGATTTAGTTAGTTAATCTCCAAGGCCTTTGAAATAAACATCTCCAACCAAACTCAATGTAGAACTCCTGTTTTCTACGGATTATTTATTACCTACTGTCAGTGAGACAATTATTTTTCTACTGCATTCTCAGAAGGCCAAAAAAAAAAAAAAAAAAAGAAAGAAAGAAAATATCTGGAATGTAAACCTTAATTCAAATTATTGTGCAGGAACAAAAATTATTTTATATCAAATGTAACAACTGTCTGGGTTTTCATTTATTCATGCTTCCCTTAACTATCAGTAGCAAGGATAATTCAGACTTTTCCAATTTGAACTAGGCCTGATGATTGATAATAATTTAACTAAACCACATTCATTTCAAGTCTCAAAACTGTCACGTACAGGAATTCACTTAAGAGTACCAAGAGTGTGGGTCAAGCGGGGAGGAGTCAAGATGGCGGAGGAGTAGCAGACTGAGATGACATCAGTTTGCAGGAGTTCAGCTAGATAGTTATCAAACCATTCCAAACACCTACAAACCCAACAGGAGATCGAAGAGAAGAAGAGCAGCAATTCTAGAAACAGAAAATTGAGTGCTCGCTTCGGCAGCACATATACTAGAAACAGAAAATTGACCACTTTTGGAAAGATAAAATGACAAGGTGGAAAAACTCACCACAAAAAAAAGAACAAGAGGCAGTACTGAAGGCTAGGGACCTAATCAATATGGACATTGGTAATGCATCAGATCTAGAGTTCAGAATGACGATTTCTCAAGGTGTTAGCTGGGGTCAAAAAAGGCATGGAAGATATTAGAGAAATCCTGTCTGGAGAAGTAAAAGCCCTTTCTGGAGAAATAAAAGAACTAAAATCTAACCATGCTGAAATCAAAAAAGCTATTAATGAGATGCAATAAAAAATGGAGGCTCTTACTGCTAGGATAAATGAGGCAGAAGAGAGAATTAGTGATATAGAAGATCAAATGACAGGCAATAAAGAAGCTCAGCAGAAGAGAAACAAACAACTACTGGACCATGAGGGAAGAATTCAAGAGATAAGTGATACCATTAAGATGGAACAATATTAGAATAATTGGGATTCCAGAAGAAGAAGAAAGAGAGAGGGGGGCAGAAGGTATATTGAAGCAAATTATTGTAGAGAATTTCCCTAATATGGCAAAGGGAACAAGCATCAAAATCCAGGACACACAGAGAACTCTCCCCAAAATCAATAAAAAATAGGTCCATACCCTGTCATCTAATAGTAAAACTTATAAGTCTTAGTGACAAAGAGAAAATCCTGAAAGCAGTCTGGGACAAGAAGTCTGTAACATACAAGGTTAAAAATATTAGATTGGCAGCAGACTTATCCACAGAGACCTGGCAGGCCAGAAAGAACTGGCATGATAAATTCAGAGCACTAAATGAGAAAAGCATGCAGCCAAGAATACTATATCCAGCTAGGTTATCATTGAAAATAGAAGGAGAGATAAAAAGCTTCCAGGACAAACAAAAACTAAAAGAGTTTGTAAACCCCAAGCCAGCTCTACAGGAAATATTGAAAGGGGTCTTCTAAGCAAAGAGAGAGCCTGAAAGTAGAAGACCAGAAAGGAACAGGGACAATATACAGTAACAGTCATCTTACAGGCAATACAATGGCACTAAATTCATATCTTTCAATAGTTACCCTGAATGTGAATGGGCTAAATGCCCCAATCAAAAGACACAGGGTATCAGAATGGATAAAAAACAAAACCCATCAATATGCTGCCTACAAGAAACTCATTTTAGACCCAAAGACACCTCCAGATTTAAAGTGAGGGGGTGGAAAACAATTTACCATGCTAATGGACATCCAAAGAAAGCTGGAGTGGCAATCCTTATATCAGCTAAATTAGATTTCTAAGCCAAAGACTATAATAAGAGATGAGGAAGGACGCTATATCATACTCAAAGGATCCATCCAACAAGGAGATCTAATAATTTTAAATATCTATGCCCCTAACAAGGGAGCAGCCAACTATATAAACCAATTAATAACAAAATCAAAGAAACACATTGATAATAATACAATAATAGTAGGGGACTTTAACACCCCCCTCAACAAAATGGACAGATCATCCAAGCAAAAGATCAACAAGGAAATAAAGATCTTAAATGACACACTGGACCAGATGGACATCACAGATATATTCAGAACATTCCATCCCAAAGCAACAGAATACACATTCTTCTCTAGTGCACATGGAACGTTCTCCAGAATAGGTCACATCCTGGATCATAAATCAGGTCTCAACCAGTATCAAAAGATTGGGATCATTCCCTGCATATTGTCAGACCACAATGCTTTGAAGCTAGAACTCAATAACAAGAGGAAACTTGGAATACATGGAGGCTAAAGAGCATCCTACTAAAGAATGAATGGGTCAACCAGGAAATTAAAGAAGAATTGAAAAAATTCATGGATGCAAATGATAATGAAAATACAACTATTCAAAATCCATGTGACACAGCAAAGGCAGTCCTGAGAGGAAAATATATAACGATACAAGCCTTTCTCAAGAAACAAGAAAGGTCTCAAATACACAACCTAACCCAACACCTAACGGAGCTGGAGAGAGAACAGCAAAGAAAGACTAAACCCAGCAAGAGAAGAGAATTAATAAAGATCAGAGCAGAAATCAATGAAATGGAAACCAAAAACAAAACAAAACAAAACAAACAGTGGAACAAATCAATGAAACTAGGAGCTGGTTCTTTGAAAGAATTAATAAGATTGATAAGCCCCTGGCCAGATTTATTAAAAAGAAAAGAGAAAGGACCCAAATAAATAAAATCATGAATGAAAGAGGAGAGATCACAACCAACACCAAATAAAAACAATTATAAGAACATATTATGAGCTACGATATGCCAGCAAATTTGACAATCTGGAAGAAATGGATACATTCTTAGAGACTTATAAACTACCAAAACTGAACCAGGAAGAAATAGAAAACCTGAACAGACCCATAACCAGTAAGGAGATTGAAACAGTCATAAAATTCTCCAACAAACAAGAGCGCAGGGACAGATGGCTTCCCAGGGAATTCTACCAAACATTTAAAGAAGAATTAATACCTATTCTCTTGAAACTGTTCCAAAAAATAGAAATGAAAGGAAAACTTCCAAACTCATTTTATGAGGCCAGCATTACCTTGATCCCAAACCAAAGACCCCATCAAAAAAGAGAATTACAGACCAATATCCTTGATGAACAAAGATGTGAAAATTCTCACCAAAATACTAGCCAATAGGATCCAACAGTACATTAAAAGGATTATCCACCACGACCAAGTGGGATTTATTCCTGGGCTGCAAGGTTGGTTCAACATCCACAAATCAATCAGTGTGATACAATACATTAATAAAAGAAAGGACAAGAACCATATGATACTCTCAATAGAAGCTGAAAAAGCATTTGACAAAGTACAGCATCCTTTCTTGATCAAAACTCTTCAAAGTATAAGGACAGAGGGTACTTTTCTCAATATCATCAAAGCCATCTATAAAAAACCCACAGCGAAAATCACTTTCAATGGAGAAAAACTGAGAGCTTTTCCACTAAGGTCAGGAACACAGCAGGGATGTCCACTATCACCACTGCTATTCAACATAGCGCTAGAAGTCCTAGCCTCCGCAATCAGACAAAAAGAAATTAAAGGCATCCAAATCGACAAAGAAGTCAAACTATCACTCTTTGTAGATGATATGATACTTTATGTGGAAAACCCAAAAGACTCCACTCCAAATCTGTTAGAACTCGTACAGAAATTCAGTATAGTGTCAGGATATAAAATCAATGCACAGAAATCAGTTGCATTTCTATACACCGACAAGACAGGAGAAAGAGAAATTAAGGAGTCAATCCCATTTACAATTGCACCCAAAACCATAAGATACCTAGGAATAAACCTAACCAAAGAGGCAAAGAATCTGTATGAGAAAACTATAAAGTACTCATGGAAGAAATTGAGAAAGACACAAAGAAATGGAAAAATGTTCCATGCTCATGGATTGGAAGAACAAATATTGTGAAAATGTCTATGCTACCTAAAGCAATCTACACATTTAATGCAATCTCTATCAAAATCCTATCCACTTTTTTCAAATAAATGGAACAAATAATCCTAAAATTTATATGGAACCAGAAAAGTCCTCGAATAGCCAGAGGAATGTTGAAAAAGAAAGCCAAAGTTGGTGGCAGCACAATTCCAGACTTCAAGTTTTATTACAAAGCTGTCGTCATCCAAACAGTATTGGACTGGCACAAAAACAGACACATAGATCAATGAAACAGAATAGAGAGCCCAGAAACAGACCCTCAACTTTATGGTTAACTAATCTTTGACAAAGCAGGAAAGAGTATATAGTGGAAAAAAGACAGTCTCTTCAACAAATGGTGTTGGGAAAATTGGAGAGCCACATGCATAAAAATGAAACTGGATCATTTCCTTACACCACACACGAAAATACACTCAAAATGGATGAAGGACCTCAATGTCAGAAGGGAATCCACCAAAATCCTTGAGGAGATCACAGGCAGCAACCTGTGATCACAGAGAGCAACCTCTTTGACCTCAGCCACAGCAACATCTTCCTAGAAACATCGCCAAAGGCAAAGGAAGCAAGGGCAAAAATGAACTATTGGGACTTCATCAAGATCAAAAGCTTTTGCACAGCAAAGGAGACAGTCAACAAAACCAAAAGACAACTGACAGAATGGGAGAAGATATTTGCAAATGATGTATCAAATAAAGTGCTAGTATCCAAAATCTATAAAGAGCTTTTCAAACTCAACACCCAAAGAACAAATAATCCAATAAGAAATGGGCAGAGAGCATGAACAGACATCTCTGCAAAGAAGACATCCAGATGGCCAACAGACACATGAAAAAGTGATCCACATTACTTGGTATCAGGGAAATACAAATCAAAACCACAATGAGATCCACCTCACACCAGTCAGAATGGCTAAAATTAACAAGTCAGGCAATGACAGATGCTGGAGAGGATACGGAGAAAGGGGAACCCTCCTACACTGTTGGTGGGAATGCAAGCTGGTACAACCACTCTGGAAAACAGCATGGAGGCTCCTCAAAAAGTTGAAAATAGAGTTACCCTATGACCCAGCAATTGCACTACTGGGTATTTACCCTAAAGATACAAATGTAGTGATCCGAAGGGGCACGTGCACCCGAATGTTTATAGCAGCACTGTCCACAATAGCCAAACTATGGAAATAACTTAGATGTCCATCAACAGATGAATGGATAAAGAAGATGTGGTGTGTATGTATGTATGTATGTGTGTGTGTGTGTGTGTGTGTGTATACATATATATATATATATATATATATATATATATATGTATAAAATGGAATACTACACAGTCATCAAAAGAAATGAAATCTTGCCATTTGCAATGATGCGGATGGACCTATAGGGTATTATGCTGAGCAAAATAAGTCAGTCAGAGAAAGACAATTATCAGATGATTTCCCTGATATGAGGAATTTGAGAGGCAAAGTTGGGGGGGGGTTGGCGGATAGGGAGGGAAAAATGAGACAAGATGGGATCGGGAGGGAGACAAACCATAAGAGACTCTTAATCTCACAAAACAAGCCGAGGGTTGCTGGTGGGGAGGGGAGTATGGAGAGGGTGGTTGGGTTATGGACACTGGGGAGGCTATGTGCTATGGTGAGTGTTGTGAAGTGTGTAAGCATGATGATTCATAGACCTGTACCCCTGGGGCTAATACATTATATGTTAATTTAAAAAAAAGACTATAGAAAAAAAAAATAGAGAGTACCAAGAATGTGTGTGTATGTGTGTGGGGGTGTGAGTGTGTGTGTAAGATTTGTAATCAGTTGGGTGACAATGTGGAGCAAGGCAGAAAAGAAAACCATAGACCAAATCAACATAAATAAATAACTTAGGAGGCTTCAGTAAAGTTTACCATAAAATGTACAGCCCCTACAGTTTAAAAAGTTAGGAACAGAAAGGGAAAGAAAAAAGGAAAATGTGTCAGACCTACCAGAGAACAGCAGCAACAACAAAAAAAAACCCTAATGAATCATCATGCAGAGATAGCAATAAATGATGAATAAATCCTTACATTTTGAAATTTTATTTAACCTCAACATGCAAGTAAGCTCAGTTCTCTTGGAGAGTGATAGCACTTTACCATTCAGTGAGTAAGTAACATAATCTCTGGTTAAAGGTGAAGAAACTTCAGTATTACACAGGTTCCGAACTGGATAGTACTAGATGAAGTGCATTCCAGAGTAGGTTACTGTATGATACACTCATGTACACTCATATCCAAACAGTAAGTGTCAAGAATCAAAAGTAAATTCCTGCACTGTTTTCTGTTCACCTGAACCAATTAGCTAAGTAGGGGCTTTGGTTTGACAAAGGCTATTCTGTAAGACACTGGCTTTAAAACACACACCACACATCAAGGATGGGTCCATATATTTTCCAGAAGCTGAAAAGATAAAGAATTTATAACATTTCCCATTTTCCTTTTATATTACTAGAAAACTTTTAAAATATCAAGTCACATCTTAATTTTAGTCTGTAATTATACACCTATAAAATGACATTGAGATTGTGAGAGTTTTATATTTCAAAGTGGAGTACAGACTTCTCATATGTTAACATTTCCAATAAATGTACAATTTATTATTTTAAACAAATGATTTTTTAAAAAAGATTTTAAAGTAATTTACACACCCAACATGGGCCTTGAACCCACCTTCCCAACAAGAGTTGTGCACTCTACTGAGTGAGCGAGCCAGATGCCCCATTTGTATTTTAACTGAAATACAAACACATAACTACTTAAGATATTATTAATATTTTTCCTGGATAGCTAAGTCAGCATTTATTGATAGGTTTTTCTTAGTGGGTTGAAAAGATCATTGAACTGCACGGTTTTATTACTGACTCAGCCAATAAATACCCCTAGGTCTTTGAGGAAGGCACTTAATCTCTATAAAATAAATAGGTAAAAATAGATGGTTTCAAAGTTTTCATCTATCTACATATTTGCAGGAATTTTTAAGCTTTAACTAGAAAGTACTTACATGATCTGAAACACCTAAGATTTTAGATGTCAGAAATTTCAAAATAATTGTTCCACACAACCAAGCACAACCTTGAATCAGCTAGAAAATAAAATTATAAAAAAAATTAAAAATGACCCAGTTAAAAAATTTAATTATATCAACAAATGTTACAGGAAAATTTTAATCATGTAAAGAATATTAATGATGAGGTCTAAAAAAAGATAGAAAATTCTGTTTATAAAGGCAAAGAACTAGAAGAGATGACACTGTTATAAAATATGTAACAACCCTAGGGTTCTACAAATTCTAAAGGAATATTTTTAAAGTTGTTTCTTTTCAATTTCGGTGAAAAAAGGAGCTATATGCATGTTTCCAAATATTATTTCCTAACTGAAAGTTCTTTTTTCAAAAAATAGGATTAAATTATAAAAAATTCTTCTATCAGTCTTTTAGAAATATATCCCTCTTCAAGAAAGGAAAATTTGAAAACTTAAGCTTTTATTTTAAAGAGAGAAATAGAAACTAAAACTTACGTGGGGTTCTGTTAATTTTTTATTTGTTTTTTTGGTTATCCTTGATTAGAAAAGAGCACAAGTATGGACTTCTAGATAACCTGAGGGAAATTATAGTGGCCTAAATCCTAATCTTTCCACACTTATCCAACAAGTAGAACAATGCAACCACAAATATTAAAAACAGGTAACAGTACAACTTCATATTACCTGTAAATAGAAAGAAACACCATATATAGCAAAGTTGAAATTCAAGTCCTGATCTAAGCCTTTGTAGAGAATGAGGGCTCTCAAAACCATATGTAAGAGGAAAGAGGGAAATGAGGGGTCCCAAACTGAGCTGAAATAACTTTAGAAAAAGAAAGTCCACTTTATGTGTGAGAAGACTGGAGAATGGGCTATAGAGCAGGGACTTCAAGTGTTCAGTATAAAAATACAAGGACACTACAAAAAAATTAACCTACTTCAAGTTCTGGAAAGAGAGGAAGGGGAAAGAAAAAGAGAGAAACCCTCCAGGATAGTGTGTGGAAAAGGAAATACGCAAGAAGGGAGAATTAATTATCCAGAAAAATAAATGAGGATCAAACAAAAAACAATCACTACTGTCACTAAAAGATGAATGAAGGAAGTTATTGTTAATTGATAAAAACCACATTTTGTTACATTAACAAAAAAGGCTGCACCTAGATTAGAAAACATCTGCTCTAACCACAAAATAATAAGGTGAAAGAGGTCTACAATAGCTATAATATAGCTTCTATAAGAAGTTAAAAAAAATGAGTCAAGCGTATCAGTTTATGATCTTTGCTCCAATAAATTAAAATCTCACAAAGCAAAAAAAAATCTATAATGCAGAATTAAATGTTGAGTTACCTAAGCTCAAATAAGCATTCAGAGAGGTTAAAAAAAAAAAGAACAAAAAATTTGAAAACTAAGGACAGAAATGGACACCCCCCCCCAAAATTGAGAATACTTAACTAAATATAGAAAATAAATGGAAGAAGAGGAGAAAACGGGGCACCTGTGTGGCTCAGTGGGTTAAAGCCTCTGCTTTCAGCTCAGGTCATGATCCCAGGGTCCTGGGATCGAGCCCCACATGGGGCTCTCTGCTCAGCAGGGAGCCTGCTTCCTCCTCTCTCTCTGCCTGCCTCTCTGCCTAGTTGTGATCTCTGTCTGTCAAATAAATAAATAAAATCTTTAAAAAAAAAAAAAGAAGAGGAGAAAACCATTGAAAAATGAAGACAATCTCAAGGTAATAAAGGAGAAGAGATTCAAATAAAAATTCAAAAAGAGCACTGAGGACAGAAACCCCAGGGAATAAAAATGAGATTAAAGAAGGTAGTAAAAGAATCAGAGACAGTGGCAGAAACAGAGGACAGGCAATGTACTTACAATAAGAGTACCTGAAAAAGAACAGCTACAATCCAAGAAAACTTCTTAGACATAAAAGACCTGAATTTACATTTGGAAAGGACCCACCATGTACTGACGAAATTGATCAGTATGGTAAACTACCTCAAGGTATTGCCTAGTAAAATTTAAAAATGAAAAATTCCTTAACACTTCTAGTCACAAAGTCCACATAACTTAGAAGGGCAAGAGAATTTGGTCTGCATCATATATGATTAAAAAAACATAAAAGCACATCAACGGTGTAGAAGCATTTTCAAGACACTCGAGAAAGTAGAAACCAGGAACTTTATATCTAACACAACAATCATTCACGTATAAAGATTATAGAAAACTAGTTTCAAGCATGCAATAACTGAGGAAATAACTTTCCTGATTATATAAAGAAAGTTAAAAATTAAAGAGTACCATGGAATGAAATATGGAGAGAAATAGTAAATACAATAAAAATATATGTAACATTTATGACATTAATAAAAATCTTTAAATTCTCACAAAGCAAGACCCTCCCTGTGCTGTACAAAGAGGTACAGAAACAGATTCAAAGAGGTGACAAAGACAAGAGCGACCAAAGCAAATAAGGATCATAGTTTATAATCCTGTCATCACTAAATTCACACCAATAAGCATTAGATTTAAAACATATCTTGACATTAAAAGACACTTCATGAAGAGAATGTGTAGGAACATTTATCCACTGAAAAACAGTCTTTATAAAGCAGAAGTTACTAGACATACAAGGAGAAATAGAAACACACTAATACCTAAAGATTTAAATTTACTTTTTCAATACAAGATAGGTCATGGGCAAATAATACATAAAGCTGTAACAGAACAAATTTTCTTAGTTTTCTTTCATCTGAGAATATCTTTTATTTCCCCTACACTCCTAAAAGACACTTTCACTGGATGTGTAATTTGTGGATGACAATTCTTTCAGCATTTGACAAACATTATGCCATCTCCTTCTGGCTCCATAGTTTCAGATGAGGTTACCGTAATCCAAATCTGTTTTGCCTGATAGGTAACACATTGTTTCTCTCTGCCTAAATTTAAGATTCGTCTTTAATTTTCAGAAATTTAATTATGATGTGCCTTTGCGTGGATTTTGTTGGGTTTATCCTACTTAGGATTCACTGAGTTTCTTGACTCTGTAGATTTAGGTCTTTTATCAAATTTGGAAAGTCTTCAGCCTTTACTTATTCAAGATGTTTTTAGTCCCACTCTCTTTTACCTCTCCTTGTGGAATTTCAATGATATGAATATTTAGATGTATGTGTGTATATGCATCTATCTGTCTATCTATCAGCAAGGACAGAGCGGTAGCAATGAGGATACTCAGCATTCAGATCTTTGGTTTCTAAATACCATACAGAGTAAGATACACAGTATAATTTTTATTCCACAGGCATGAAAGAATTACTTGGGACTAACAAAGATTTGGGGGAGGAGGTTGCAAAAAAAAGTGTCAGTTCACAAAACTTCTTTGCTTTACCTTTCTGTCTTTTATGAAAAAAAAAAGGCATAAAAATCCACAATATCCTTTGTATTGTCTAGATGACTGACGTGATTTGTTTTTTTTTTTTTTTTAAGATTTTATTTATTTATTTGACAGAGAGAGGGATCACAAGTAGGCAGAGAGGCAGGCAGAGAGAGCGAGGGGGAAGCAGGCTCCCCGCTGAGCAGAGAGCCCGATGCAGGGCTCGATCCCAGGACCCTGGGACCATGACCCAAGCCGAAGGCGGAGGCTCAACCCACTTAGCCACTTAGGTGCCCCTTGTTTCTTCCTTTTGCAAAAGACTGACAATATCAATTATATTGACTTCAAAATATAAAGGTAAGCTGAACATTAATTATATCTCAACTTTTTTCTCCTTAGATTTTTGTTCCTATGAAATTCTTGAGTTGAAAGCATAAGTTTTTTACTCTTTCCAGTCTAAACTGTAAATACTTAAGACAATAAATTTTCTTCTTAGTACAGCTTTGACATAATTCCCTAAATGTCTTTGTACACTGTTCTATTTGTTGTCATTTTTCAATAGTTTGTAATGGAAATTTTTATTTTCTTTTGAGTTCAGTTATTAAATGAGATCTTTGAATGTTCCATTGATTTCCTGGTTTAATCTTTTAAAATCATTAATTTTTCTGAAGTAAAAATCATCTAATAACTCAACTACACAAATATCCCTACATTTTCATCATTAGGGATGGGAGAAAGCCTCCAGCAGTAACTGGCAACTGTCCATTTTGTTCTTTTGCATTCTGATTAGGAATCTACCTGATCTTACCATAACTTCTCCAGTTTTACCTTATTAATATATCATATGTAATCACATAAATTTTTAATATAGGTTTTATTTTTTAATACATATACATCTACATTAAAGGCCAAGAGAAAAAAAGGAATGTCATCTGTCCAATATTACAAGAATTAGTAATTGCAATGCCTACCTGATAATATACTTATTTTATTTGGGAACAAGACACACAAATATAGAGGTAACATGGGCCATCCATTTGCATATTTAGGAAGAAGTCAAAGAGATTAGGTAGTAGCTGAGTTGAGATAAGAAGGGACTGGGAAACTGTAGGGAAAATAGTATAAGGACAAAAATAATAGTCTAAAGTAGGAAGCAGAAGAACAGACAGATGACAGATGCAGAGGAAAAAGAAAAGGGAAAGTAGGTTCAGGACTACAGACTGAGTTATTTTGAAGAGAAGGTTAGTAAATCTAAAGAGAGAAACTCAAAATTTATAAAGCAAGGTAGTAAGGGTATAGCAAGATGAAAGTAAAGAGAGGTGTGAGCATAGTGCTGAAATAAATGAACTCATTTCTTGATAATGACTTGTAGATGTTGCTATGAGCTATTTCTCTCCCTATGTGAGAAGGTATTGACCATAAGTCATTCAATTTTTAAGTTATATTGTCTATATTCAGTCTATAGAAATAGAGTTGAAGAAATGGTTGAAACTATTGACTCTTACCCAAAAGTTGAGTTCAGACACTCCCAATCTTTGAATTTTATTTCTCTTTAGAATTATCACCTAAAATGCACATGATATAAAATGAAACAATTAAATAAAATTGACATTTTATATGAATGATACATTTCAAAAAGTATACAGTGACCCACTTCCATCTTGGCTATCACCACCCATTCTCCTTCTTAATTGTTGATTTTTCAAAATTTGGACCTGGAAAATTTCCTTGTAGTGAGAGCTAAATGCTTTGTGTGCCAAAAAGTTGCTTTTAGGGTCAAGTTAATTCCTCACTGAGTTACTTGAGATGTCCTGTGCAAGCCAATCCTCTCAGGGTATAGATGGTATGTGGGAGGTGTGTCCATGCAAAATTAGTGGTCTAAGTTAACATAAAAACCTTTCCTCTCTGAATTCCTAAATAAAATATTTTAAAATGCTTAAAATATGCCTAAGTGAACGTGTAAGAAAGAAAACGAATTTTCCAGGTGCCAGAGAAAAGCAGACGACTTTAAAAAACTGAAACAATTAGGAGAGAATATAGGGTAGTCTTAAAGGAGGACAGCAGAATAAAGTTTTCACTATGGACTTGCACCAAAAGTAGAAAAGGGCTTGGGACTATGGAAGGTAAGAATGTGGACTTAAGACAGGCATAAGCTGGGGCCCTCAAAAACTATACCCTCAGTCCATCTGAGGTGCTATCAACTAAATGTTTATGTTCTACACCAAACATATGTGTTGAAACTCTAATCCTCAATGTGACATATGGGAAGGGGAAACCTTTGGGAGGTAATTAGACCATGTGGGTGGAGCCCTCATGAAGGGGACTAGTGCTATTATAAGAAGAAATATGGGAGAGATGTCTCTCCACTATGTAAGGATATGGTGAAGGTATCTGTCTGCAAATCAAGAAAAGGGCCCTCACCAAGAACCAAAATGACTGGCACCCTGATCATGGACTTCCATGAAAAATATGAAAAATAAATTTCTGTGTAAGTTATCCAGTCTGTAATATTTTTACTACAGCAGCCCAAACTGACAGACACTCAATTAGTAGGAGTACTCCTCCTACCATTGCTACAAGGTGATACAGTAGTTGTTTATTCTCAAGTTTGGGAAGGAAAAAAAAAAAACTTCCTATAAGAAACTGAAATCTTAGGCCTGTGTATTATATAGATTTTGAGTGGAATTTTGCATCATCTAGTTAGTTCAAGGTGAGCCAGGATTCCTGAACTTCCAACAACAGGAAAATATAAATGTACCAGATTATACACTGTAACACTGTAAATACAAAATGTAGGCACAACCTACATGCCCAAACATCGAAGAGTAGTTGAATTATCTATGGAACATCCACAGTGCAGTACTATGAAACTATAAAAGGAATGAAGAAGAGCTCTGTGAAATTATATAGAATGATATCCAGGATAGATTGTTACATATCCACAACAGGCTGATAAACCAAAGTGCTGATAAACCAACAGGCTGATAAACCAAAGTGCAGCAATATAGTATGCTACTTTTCATGTAAATAAGAGGAGATATAATTTTAAAAATATGTAATGTTTATTAGTGCAAAAAAGAAAAAAAAAACAACTAAATGGGCAAACCAGAAAACCATGAGATATCTTACAAGAAAGGTAAAACCAAGGTGAAAAGAGAGGTGGAGAAAATGGGGTAAGAAGAAATGGGAGGGAGTGACATTTTCTGAATATAGCTTTTTGTATATTTCTTATTCTTATAAATGTAATATTTTATCCCCAAAATAAATTATTAAAATCAATCAAGATGGAATTTCTGCTTCTGATCAAGTTGATATAACAAGAATTACACATACTCTCCCATCTGAAATAACTAAACCCAAACAAAATAGATTATAAAAGACTACTAGATGCTAACAAATTGGATTACATAGAAGAGATACATTCCTAGAAGTATACAATCTACCAAGACAGAATCATAAAGAAACAGAAACTCTGAGCACCTATAACTAGTAAGGTGATTGAATAAAAACAAAAAGAAAACAAAAAATTCCCAACAAAGAGAAGACCAAGACCAGACGGCTTTGCTTGTGAACTCTACCAGACATTTAAGGAAAAATTAATGTCAACCCTTCTTGAACTGTTCCAAAAAACTTAGTAGGAGAGAACATTTCCAAACACGTTTCATGAGGCCAGCATGACCCTGATACCAAAGCCAGACAAGGACACTACAAAAAAATTAACCTACAGACTAATACCCCTGGTGAACATAAATGCAAAAATTCTTAACAAAATACAAGCAAACCAGATTTAACAGCACACATTAAAAGGATCATACACCATGATTAAGTGAGATTTATCTTGCAAGTAGGATGGTTCAACATATGCAAATCAATTAACCTAACACGCTACAATACCAGAATGAGGGATTTTTTTTTTTTTAAGATTTTGTATATTTATTTGACAGACAGAGATCACAAGTAGCCAGAGAGGCAGGCAGAGAGAGAGAGGAAGAAAAGCAGGCTCCCTGCTGAGCAGAGAGCCCGATGCGGGCTCGATCCCAGGTCCCTGAGCCGAAGGCAGAGGCTTTAACCCACTGAGCCACCCAGGTGCCCCCAAAATGAGGGATTAAAATCACAAGATCATCTCAATAGATGCAGGAAAACATCTGATGAAATTCAACATCCTATCACGATAAAAACTCTCAACAAACTAGGAATAGAAGGAAATTACCTTAACATAACAAGAGTCATATTTGAAAATCCCACAGCTAACATCATACTACATGGTGAAAAACTGTAAGCTTTTACTCTAAGATGAGGAAAAAGGCAAGGATGCCAACTTTAATGATTTTTATTCAGTATAGTACTGGAAGTCCTAGCTATAGCAATAAAGCAAGAAAAAGAAATAAAAGGCATAAAAATTGTAAAGGAAGATGTAAAATTCTCTCTCTCTGCAGATGATGTGATCTTCTATGAAGAAAACACTAAATATCATACACACACACTGTTAGAATTAACTTTTAAAAAGTAGCAGGATACAAAATCAACATACAAAAATATGTTGCATTTCTACACACTAACAACACTCTGAAAAGGAAATTAAAAAAACACTCCCACTTACAATAGCTTGAAAAAGAATAAAATATTAAGAATAAACTTAGCTAAAGGTGTGAAAGACTTAATACACTAAACTACAAAACATCACTGAAAGAAACTAAAGACACAAATGGAAAGACAGTATTTGTCTTTCTCTCTTATTTCATACAGCTTGGTGGCACGTTTGTCAAATAACAGTTGATTTATCAGTAGTTATTAGTAATAGTACTAAGTATACAAATCTTGTTTCATGTAGTTTCCTAGATGTGTGCTACATTTCAAAATAAAGTGTTTTCATAAAAAGAGGTAGATGATTCCAAGTTCTCTACTTTGTACGGATAACAAAGCTTGATAAAATGTTGAAAATGTTTTTGAGGAAAAAGAAAAAGGAGGGATTACTTGGGATGAGGCCAAAGAAAAAAAAGGCTTGGGGAGCAAATTGTTAAAATATAGGGATGATCTCAAGAGTCAGTCAATGCACCATATTTGAAAAAGTGCCGTATTTTGGTATTACTGTGGTTCATATAATTTCTGATCATTGTGGAAAGAGAATATGTCAGAAACATTCTAGTGGAGGAAAACACTCCATGTTCTGTTTCATGAATATTAGAAGTGTGACTATAAAGCAATGAAACAATTTTACTGAACCACCATTCCAAATACATATTCAAATGAGTGTTATCCCATGGAAGTAAGCCACATGAGTTACTTTATAGACTATATATAAAGTATTGTTAGACTATATATATATATATGTGTGTATATATATATATATATATATAATTCTAATCACGTTGCCATTGCTCAAAACAGTTTGAAACTCCTTTTTCCAAACTGCCTTCAGAGATAATTTAGTTATGGTCAAGAAAATCAGTCTAGTTACTGTCACACCATATTCTGATCAAGATCTAGATTACCCAAGATCTAATCACCTACCTTGTTCACAAGGTTTTGGTCATTTCCAAAATTAAATCCACCCTTGAAAGATGAAGATTTGCCGCCAATGAAGATATTCAAAAGGATGTGCCATAGTCTGTGAAAGCATTTCAGAGGAGTTCCAAAAATGTTTTGGGAAATGGTAAACGTCATTGCAGTAACTATATAGTGTACTGAAGTGATGTAGAAGGAAATAACTAATTTTTATTATAAATTATGGCATAGTTTTAAAGTAAGTCTTTTTACCTTAAGATTTTAAAAAAATACTTACCTGGACATTACTTTAAAGAGATAAACTTAATATTGTATTCATTTTTCAAGAATGAGAGAGAGAAAAAGCATTATTTGGGAAAAAGTTTTTCATGTGAGTAAATAATAATCAAGGAAAGGTACTATTTATTCTCCTAAACTTACATTACATGAGTAAACCTACTATATGACAGTTAAAAAAAAATCTTCATGAGCTTAGCAAACACTTACCAATGTCATTAACAAAGATGAAGAATAATAAGAAGATAAATACATTGGATTTCCAAACATCAATACAAAACAAAGGAGAACTGAAACCTGCCAATTGAAGAAAGGAAATATCTGTTTTATTGTTATTAGATATATAGCATAATGCATACTTTGTCTACAGGCATAGTCATTTCTAATACAAACTTCATATGCATAAATAAGATTAACAAACAGATAGAGTCCAGCCAAATGATAATAGAATTTCAATACATGGATAGGTTCTAAGTTTTTCAATACCATAAATTATATATAGAATTTAATCTTATTTCTCTGATACTTGATATAAAGAAAACAGAAAAAAAGCCCTAGTGCTTCTATTGATTCAATAATGGAATGATATACTAAGAAAGACTTAGTCATGAGTATTAATTTTCTGATATTATTTTTGTTGGACTACTTGAGGATTTCCATCACTAACAAAGCTTTGTTTTATTTTCTTATCTAAAATATATGTATGTGTTTAGAAACTGAGATTTTAAAAAGTGCAAAAACAAAATTTACAGTGTCATATTAATGCAAAGTGCCAAAAGTCTCAGGTCTTGGGGAGAAAAAGCAATTTCAAGTGTAGTGACAATAATAAATAAAACATTAACATTTTAAAAAGTTTCACCAGAACATAAAACATCTGAATGTTATAGATCTGAATATGATAGGTATAGATATATAATAATGTAATCTATCCTTCTGGATAATATCAATACCATGTATATTAATTAAATACTACTTGCAAAGAGGTACCCCATAAAATAGTCAGTAATGTTTTACAAATCCTGAAATCTTATTTTAATATTTGACATTTGAATATTAAAAATGTTACCATGTTCATATAAATGATCTTCTGAAATTTGTTTGGCTCAATGTATCCCACAACATACATGGGAAATAATGAAGCTATCTGAAATAAAAATATTAAAAAAGCAAACATGAAAAAAAAGTAAAAAACAAACACTTCACTGTTCATAAGTAAATATAAGAGTTGCATTTATTTCCAATAATGATAGTCAAAATAATTTGAACCAACCTTATCATTAAGAACTAGAAAAGCTAGGGAAAAAATATTTCAAAACCTGTATGAAATCCACAGATTACTAACAAAGCAAAAAAGAATTAGGAAGTTAAAACCAGAGAAGAGATGAAAACATACAGTGATGAGCATGATATTTTAAGTTGCTTTTATCCCAGAAGTATCTGCCAATTCCCACAGAAGCAGTCTAATAGAGGCAGTTGAGAGATTTCAATGGACTCAGTACTCAGGACACACCAAGAATGTGATCTCAGCTAAGTCCCAAGCTTTGGTTTGGGCTGTTGTATGAGCCAGGGAGAACGAGAAATTAAACAGCCTTCAGACAGACTAAAGCCCTCCTTTGAATTAGCTCATTCTCTCACTGCATGTGATGATTCAAGGTTGCTAGTGCCTTTATTTGCCTACCAGAAGCAACTTTCAATCTTCTCTGGAAGAAGTTAATATCAACATAGTCCCAAATTAACTCTGTAATTATTCATGTACAATATCCAATACCACATCAAAACTAACCAGATAGAGGAGATAAGACATCATCACTATGACAATAGAAACAGATCCATAAAGAATCTACTTCATGGGTCCATAGATATTTTATGTAAAAAGTCAGATAGTAAATGTGTTATACTCTGTGGGCCATATACAGTCTCTGTTGTATATTCTTCTTCTATTTTTTTAAACAACACTTTAAAAATGCAAAAACAGGGGCGCCTGGGTGGCTCAGTGGGTTGAGCCGCTGCCTTCGGCTCGGGTCATGATCCCAGGTCCTGGGTTCGAGCCCCACATTGGGCTTTCTGCTCAGCAGGGAGCCTGCTTCCTCCTCTCTCTCTGCCTGCCTCTCTGCTTACTTGTGATTTCTCTCTGTCAAATAAATAAATAAAATCTTTTAAAAAAATAAATAAATAAAAATGCAAAAACAGCTCTTTTCTTGAAAACTACTCAGAAACATGTTTGGCATCATCAGACATAGACTATCCCTTTGATATGTGCAAAGAAATAACAGATAATACTGAAAATTCCCGGAGAATATTGGAAGCCATAATAGAAAGTGAAATGTGTAACTAAATATTACAATAATCACTATTAAGAAGTCAGAGATGGATTTAAAAAACAAATTGAACAGAATCAAACAAAGAAGTGATAAATTGGAAGGTAGAAGAAAACATTTAGAAAAAAGTATAAAATGACAGAAATGAAAAATATATGAAAGAACATAATAGATACAGAACATATAGTGTAAAGATCTAATATATTTTACTGTATATCTCAGGATGGGATGAAGGAATGAAATAAAAGCTATATTTAAAGAGATTGTATCTGAGAAGTTCCCAACATTTGTAGAAGAAATCAAACACTAATTCATAAAATATTACAAATCCCCAAGAAGGGATAAATTAAAAAACAAACAAAAACTTGACCACACTTAGGCATATCATGGTAAAAACTGCTCAAAATCAAAGACAAAAAGAAAACTCTAAAAAAGCTGGATACTAGCTGACTTTAAGACTTCCCCAAAACTGCAGTAATCAAGACAACACAGTATTGGAAAAATAATAGACAAATTAAACAATGCACTAAAACAGAAAGCCCAGAAACAGATCCACACAACTACAGGCAACTAAATTTTTGACAAAGGAGCAAAGGTAATTAAATGGAGAAATGACAGTCTTTCCAAGAAATGGGCTGGAAGACTTGGATATCCATCCACAAAAGATGAACCTAGACCTAGACCTTACACCTTTCCAAAAAAAATTAACTCAAAATGGGTCTTAGACCTAAATTTAAAACACCAACTATAAAACTTCTAAAAGATAACATAAGGAGAAAACCTAGATGACCTTATTTGATAATGAGTTTTTAGATATAAAATCAGAAGCATGACCCATGAAAAAAAATTAGTAAATTGGACATTCTTAAAATTAAAAACCTCAGTTCTGTAAAAGACGCTATTAAGAAAATTAAAAGACAAGGAAGAAACTGTGAGAAAATCTTTGCAAAGCTCATATCTGATAAAGGTCTGGTATGCAAAATATACCAAGAATCCTTAAAACTCAGAAATCAGAAAATAGCCCAATTTAAAAATGGGCAAAAGGGGGCGCCTGGGTGGTTCAGTGGGTTGAGGCCTCTGCTTTTGGCTCAGGTCGTTGTCCCAGGGTCCTGGGATCGAGCCCCACATCGGGCTCCCCGCTTGGCGGGGATCCTGCTTCCCTTCCTCTCTCTCTGCCTGCCTCTCTGCCTACTTGTGGTCTCTGTCTGTCAAATAAATAAATAAATAAAAATCTTTTAAAAAAAAATAAATAAAATAGAAAAATTTTTAAAAATGGGCAAAAGATCTGAACAAATACCTTACCCAAAGAATATATACAGACAGCAAATAACCACATGTAAAGCTGGTAAATGTAATATTCCATTAGGCCACTGTATATTAAAGTAACAAGGACAATCTTCTACATACCTACTACAATGGTTGAAATCCAAAAACCTGATAAAATTGGCAATTTTCTTTTTTTAAAGATTTTATTTATTTGTCAGAGAGAGAGAGGGAGAGAGAGCGAGCACAGGCAGACAGAATGGCAGGCAGAGGCAGAGGGAGAAGCAGGCTCTCTGCCGAGCAAGGAGCCCGATGTGGGACTCGATCTCAGGACGCTGGGATCATGACCTGAGCCGAAGGCAGCTGCTTAACCAACTGAGCCACCCAGGCGTCCCTAAAATTGGCAATTTTTTATAAAATTAAACGTAGCCTTACAATACAATCCGCCAATCACACTCCTGGGTATTTACCCACTTGAGTTAAAATCTTACATGCATGCAAAACCTGCAAACAAATGTTTATAGAATCACCGAAGACTAGAAGCAACCATGATGTCCTTCAAGAGGTGAATGGGTAAACAAATTGTGGTATATCCGTACAATGAAATATTACTCAGCAGTATAAAAAAATGAGCTATCCAAAGTCGTGAAAAGACATGCATATTGCTAAATGAAAGAAGCCAGGGTGGAAAGGCAATATGCTCTATGATTCCAAGTACCCAAGATTTTATTTGGGTTACATTTTATTAAATTGAAGGTTGCAAAGCTCTACCGCTAATTACAGTATTACCATTTCTTTTATTTTAGAAGACTGCATTCATAGTCATTATTATGACTGGGCCCAGGAATTCTTTTGTTTGGGCCTTCGGAGAGAAAAGTCCCATGCAATTTAACATTCAGTAGTAATGAAGTTAGGGGTTCACTGTACAGTTCAAAAATTTTTTAAGTACAGAAACAATGAGTAATTCACCCAAGAATCCCAAGGAGATGTTTGTTTTAAACAGCTGAAGATGGTAATACTTTGAAGTAATAATCAATTTACCTGAATATAGTTTTCCAGGGCTTTGCTTATACCTTAGTTGCTTGGAGTTTAAAACAGTTTTTTTCTTAAAAACAGTGCTATAAATTCAAATTCCTTCAATGGATACTAGAGTACCAATGGTATCTCCACCCTAAGGGAACTAACTTGCTCGTGGTAGGGAAAAATAGGCAAGGACAAACCGCTCAGCAAACCTCTCTTCAACACATTATCAAGTGCCTCATAAAACAAGCTCAGCACACCAAGAAGCTACCATCAAATCTCAGAGTCAGAGAAGGCATAAATTGTTACAAGATCAATAGATCAGCTACCCAGAATTTGGAAGTTTAGGGCTAAAATCTTACTCTCAAACCTTTTGTCATTTCTTGTTCTCTCAGCCTAAATATCCCACTACCCACTTCCTCTCCCCAAAATAGACAAGGTAGGTTTAAGTGGCTCCAGGTAATATTCTAGGTAATGGAACCCTTTTTATTATGAATTTATTATGAATAAATAATTATTTACTAGAATCTCTACCAAGGACTCTCCTATTACTCTCCCCCCCCCAGGATTTATTAAGATATAATTGACTTCTAACAACATATAAGTTGAAGGAGTACACATATTGATTGGATACACTTATCTATTACAATGTGATTACCACTGCAGTGTTAGCTGAAACCATTATGCCACAAAACTCTTTTCATTTTAGCAATAAGAACATTTAAGATCTACTCTCCTAGCAACTTTCAAGTACATAAAAAAATAGTAAACTATAATCACTTCACTGTGCATTAGATCCCTAAAACTCATCTTCTTTTTTCTTTTCTTTCTTTTTTAAGCTCCACACCCAGCATGGAACCCAAAGCAGGGCTTGAACTCACAACCCTGAGATCAAGACCTGACCTGAGATAAAGACACTTAACCAAATGAGCAACACAGGTGCCCCCATTCATCTAATCGCAAAAGCATACTCTTTGGCCAGTAGCTTCCTATTTCCCAACCTCCACCCCCACACACTGGTAACCATCATTCAAGTCTGTTTCTGCTAGTTTGGCTTTTTTAGTTTCCACATATAAGTGATATGATACAGTATTTATCTTTTTCTGCCTGACTTATTTCACTTAGAACAAAGGCCTCAACGTCCATCTACATTGTCAAAGCTGGCAGGATTTCCTTCTCTCGTATAGCAGAATATTCCATTGTGTTTATGTTTATGTGTATGTGAGATATATATGTCCCATTTTCTTTATGCATTTATTTGTTGACACTTAGTTGTTTCCACACCTTGGCTAGTGTGAACAATGCTGCAATAAACATGGAAGTGCAAATATCTCTTTGATATTCTGTTTTCATTTCTTTTGGATATATACACTTAAGAATGGAATTGCTAGATCATATGATAGTTCTATCTTTAATTTTATAAGGAACTTCCCATAGTCTTTTCCAGAGTGGCTGGCCAATTTAAATTCACACCAACAAAACAGAAGGGTTCACTCCCTTCCTATTACATCCTCTCCAACACTCATTATCTCTTATCTTCTTA